CATGCCTGTGAATAGCCACTGAACTTCAGTCTGGGCCATGAAATGAGACCATGTCTCAAAGAAAGAAGAAGGAAAGGAAGGGAAGGAAGGAAGGAAGGAAGCAATTTTTTTTAAAAATCCAAGATAAATAACTGTGTAGAAAATAAAAACAAAATACATTTCTTTTTTCCTCCCAGACAAAGTCTTGCTTTGTTGTCCAGGCTGGAGTGAACTGGCACAATCTCAGCTCACTGCAACCTCTGCTTCCCAGGTTCAAGCGATTCTCCTGCCTCAGCCTCTGGAGTAGCTGGGACTACAGGCCAGCTTTTTTTTTTTTTTTTTTTTTTTAAGTAGAGATAGGATTTCACCATGTTGGCCAGGCTGGCCTCAAGCTCCTGACCTCAAGTCATCCACCCACCTAGGCCTCCCAAAGTCCTGGGATTATAGGTGTGAGCCACTGTGCCTGGCCAAAACAAAATAAATTTCAATAAATATGGAAAGACATGCCATATTTTTCAATAGGGAAGACTCAGGGAACATTATCCCTAGTTAATGACCAACAAAATGCCAACTGACTTTTTTTTTGTAGACAGAGTCTCACTCCGTCACCCAGGTTGGAGTACAGAAGCACGATCTTGGCCCACTGTAACCTCTGATTCCTGGGTTCAGGCAATTCTCGTGCCTTCGCCTCCCAAGTAGCTGGAATTTCAGGTGTGTGCCTCCATGCGCGGCTAATTTTTGTATTGTTAGTAGATACGGGGTTTCACCATGTTGGCCAGGCTGGTCTGGAACTGCTGACCTCAAGTGATCTGCACGCCTTGGCCTCCCAAAGTGTCAGGATTACAGAGGTGAGCCACCCTGTCTGGCCAAAACAAAATAAATTTCAATAAATGGAAAGACATTCCATCTTTTTATTTATTTATTATTTTTTTTAAAGATGGGGTTTCACCATATTGGTCAGGCTGGTCTTGAACTCCTGACCTCAGGTGATCTGCCCGCCTCAGCCTCCCAAAGAGCTGGGATTACAGGCGTGAGCCACCGCGCTCGGCTAAGACATTCCATATTTTTCAATAGGAAGACTCCGTGAACATTCTCCCCACCCAATGCTCATCAAAATGCTGACTGCCTTTTTTCTCATTTTCACTAAATTATTCAAAAGATCAAATGAAAGAATATGTGGGTGACAATTACCATGAAAATTCTGAAAATAAAATTCTGACAAATATCAAAAACCAAAAAAAGTACAGTATTTTAGACAGAATCACATTGGTTTGGACCAATGGATTAAACTGAAATGTTCAGAAAGAAATCCAGATATTTTAGCATATAAGGTAGTGATCTAAATCTGTGGAAAAGAGGATGTTTTTCAATAAATTATATAATAATACAGAGACAACCATGATAATCCCAACTTCGTATCAAGATAAATCCATAGGGTTTAAACACTGAAGACAGGCAGTGCGCGGTGGCTCATGCCTATAATCCCGACCCTTTGGGAAGCTGAGACGGGTGATCAGCTGAGGTCTGGAGTTTAAGACCAGCCTGGCCAATATGGCAAAACACCATCTCTACTAAAAATACAAAAATTAGCAGTGAGTGGTGGCCCGTGCCTATAATCCCAGCTATTGAGGAGGCTGAGACAGGAGAATCACTTGAACCTGAGGTGGAGGTTGCACTGAGCCGAGATCACACCATTGCACTCAAGCCTGAGCAACAAGAGTGAAACTCAATCTCATGAAAAAACAAACAAACAAAAAATCGAAAATAAAGGTAAGTAGTTCTTTTTTTTTTTTTTTGAAGACAGGGTCTCACTTGCCCAGGCTGGGGTACAGTATCGCTATCATAGCACATTGCAGCCTGGAACCCCTGGCCTCAAGTAATTCTCCCATCTTGGCCTCCCAAAGTGCTGGGATTACAAGCATGAACCAGACCATCCCTGGCCAAACAGACCTCTCTAGGCAGAAAAGAAAAGGCATTTACTGAATGTACATGCAAGAAAACTAAATATGTAAAATCAAAGGCAGAAACCATTAAAAAAACTGTAAATCTGAAGACACATCTTTTATTTACCATTCTTGAACATTTACTACGTGCAATTAAATAAAACTTACAGAAGGCAATTGGCTTGCACTGGGCTCCTGCACTAGGCCCAACAGAACAAACCAAAATGGAGTTACTCATGCTGAAGTTTCATGCCACCAAGTAGAAACTAAGATCTTTATCTGACTTTCTGAGAAATCAGGAGAGAGAGATAACAGCCAAATCCCCAAACAGGCCAGTTTTAGCATGATAAAGATGTTCCCTCTGCTTTAACCTTTACAAGGAAAGTAACAAATGACCAATCTGCTTTTTTCTGTTTCTACTTCCTTGGTCCTTTTCTGTCCATAAGGCCAAACTCCACTGCTCAGCTCATAGAACTCTCAAGGTGTTACCCAATTCATGAACTGTAAATAAAAGCCAATAATTGTGTCTTCTGACAGTGGTAAGCCCTATATTAGGTCTAAGTGTACAGTGTGAGCAAAAAAGACAACAGCCTCTGCCAGAGGAGCTGACAATCTAGGAGAGACAGAATAAATAATTACAGAAGAGTTCAAGACATCTTCAACTTCTCTTACTCCACAAGCAGTGAGGAAATCGACTTAAGCGCTACTTTCAAAATACAGATGTCCAGACTCTGACTCCGTACCACCTCCCCTGCTACCATCCTCCCAGCTCCACCGATTACAACAGCCTCCTGACTGGTGTTCCCACTTCCATCCTCACTCTGCCAAGTCTATTCTCCACATAGCAGCAACAGGGATCCTTTTACAGCTCAAGTTGGGTCTTGCCACTGCTCCGCTCAAAGTCCTGCATTTCACTCAGAGTGAAAGTTAAAACCCCCCACAAAAGCCCTACCAAGCCATACATAATCAGCTCCTCCATTTTCTCTGCCCCTCCACCACCCTGCTTGCTCACTCAGCTCTAGCTACCCTGGGTGCACCTGCACCAGACCTCTTGCTGTCTTAAGGTCTGTGCCCTAGCTGTCTACCTGCCAAAAGCTTCTTCTCCCATATATTCGCCTGGCTAACCCCTTACCTCATTCAGGTATTTGCTCAAATGAGCTTGTCTACTCTACTTGAAACTGCTATTCTCCACCCCCTTGCCCCACTACTCCTGATTGCCCTCACCCTGTGCTCTGCTTTTTCTTTTTTCCATGGCTTTTATTGCTTTTAATACAACTATACAATTTATTATATTTATTATTTACTGTTCATCTCCCCTGGTGACAACATAAGCTCTGTGAGGGGAGGGATCTTTGTTTTGCTATCTGATAGGTCCTAAGACTCTGGTTCATAACTGGAGCTTGGAAACTATACTCTGAAGCAATGAATGAAACGATCAGAGAAGCAAAGATTTACAAGCCTGATAACATCCAGTGGTTGTACATAGCTGATGGGAAAAGAAACTGAATAAATCTTCTACAGGGTAATTTGTCAAGATATATTTAACTATCTTATTATATTAAATATATATTAAAAGGCTTTAGAATGTTCAGCCCTTCCATTAAGTAATTCTACTTCTGAGTACATGGCCTAAAAACATCAGATGTACAGGGACTTATGTGTAAGATGGGACACGCAACCATTAAAAATTGCACACATCTGGCCGGGCACAGTGGCTCACGCCTGTAATCCTAGCACTTTGGGAGGCTAATGTAGGCGAATTGCCTGAGCTCAGGAGATTGAGACCAGCTGGGCAACATGGTGAAATCCCATCTCTACTAAAATACAAAAAATTAGCCGGATGTGGCGGAGTGCACCTGTAGTACCAGGTTGAGGGAGGAGAATAGTTTGAACCCAGGAGGCAGAGGTTGCAGTGAGCCGAGATCACACCACTGCACTCCAGCCTGGATGACAGACTGTGTCTCAAAAAAAAAGAAAAAGAAATTAGCCAGGCATGGTGGCGGGTGCCTGTAAACCCAGCTACTTGGGAGGCTGAGGTAGGACAATAAATTGAACCTGGGAGGTGGAGGTTGCAGTGAGCCGAGATCCTGCCACTGCAGTCCAGCCTGGGTGACAGAGTGAGACTTTGTCTCAATTAAAAAAAATTAGGCTGGGCATGGTGGCTCACGCCTGTAATCCCAGCACTTTGGGAGGCCAAGGCGGGTGGAACACAAGGTCAAGAGATCGAGAGCATCCTGGTCAACATGGTGAAACCCCATCTCTACTAAAAATACAAAAAATCAGCTGGGCATGGTGGTGCGTGCCTGTAATCCCAGCTACTTGGGACACTGAGGCAGGAGAGTTGCCTGATCCCAGGAGGCAGAGGTTGCAGTGAGCCGAGATCGTGCCATTGCACTCCAGCCTGGATAACAAGAGCGAAACTCTGTCTCAAAAAAAAAAAAAAAAAAAAAAAAACTATACACATCTGTATTTACTTCAGTAACATATACATTGTATATAATTATATGCAAACTCAGGACGTGCATATAATCAAACCAAGTTCTCCTAACCACAAATTTATATAAAATTCCTTCTCAAAGCACAGCAGATGTCTATTTAGATGCTTATCTCAGTAGGACTTAGGGACAAGCGCACATATATTCAGTTCAGTTATTCTACAACTAAAAATCCAAATAGGGTCAGGTGCTATGGTTCATGCCTATCATCTGAACACTTTGAGAGCCTGAGACAGAAGGATCCCTTGAAGACAGGAGTTCAAGACTAGCCTGGGAAATATAGCAAGACCCTGTCTCTACAAAAAATAAAACTAAATTGAAAAATTAGCTGGGCATGGTAGCATGCCTGTAGTCCTGGCTACTCAGAAGGCTGAGGTGGCAGATCACTTGAACCCAGGAGTTCAGGGTTACAGTGAGCTATGATCAAACCACTGTACTCCTGCCAGGGTGACAGGACAAGACCCTGTCTCTGAGGGAAAAAACAAACAAACAGAACAATGTCTAATCTGTATTATTACCAGCTGTTACTGAACATTTCAGAAAATCATCAGCATGTTAAAGACAGGTCCCACCATTCACTCACATGACATCCAGCACAGAGTCATTCCGAATGACCTTATGAGAGACATCAGCTAGCAGGAAGAGCCCTCCATCTGTCCTTCGGATGCTAGCTGCATAGCCTGGCCAGATCTGCAATCTGGAAAGAGAGGTGGTCTTAACTGTAGGATTTTCAAAGAACACAGATACTTCCATGCCACCATGTGAATAATACTTTGAGGTGATACTGCCCTTCCCTAAGAGTAATGAGAAAGCCTCAGGAAACTAAGTTAATCCACATCATTGCAAACTTACCAAACAAACAAAGGAAGAGATTTAACTGATAAATTATATTCACTACCATAAACTGCCTCTGAGATTACGGTACTAAATACAAGGGTTGTAATGAAAAATTTCTTTCCAGAACATTCAAAAGTGAGGAAGAGGAAAAAACTACCAACCTGTGTTGCTGTAGTACCACAGCACTTGTAGGGTCATAAAAGTTTCTCCCCACAAGCTTCATATCTAAAAGTTTCATTGCCCTGAAATAAAAAGCAAGTATGAGTTTTCTAATAGAAGACTAATAAAATTATGTTCCCTTATTCTTAGCTACATTTGCCTTTGGAAGTCTGAACGGTCAGAAATGTTTGTGCTCTTTGCAGAACATAGCTTTTATAATGAGAACTGTCTTCTTAAAAGAAAACCAACAATCACCAAAGCATTTGACTGAAAAAGCAAAGCAAAATGACTGCAGTCTTTTCCACTTACTAGCTGAACAAACACTGAGTTGATTTCCCAGGTTTGATTTACATTACTTTTCACTATTAACTAAGAAGAATGCAAGAGAAAGAACCCACTGCTAAGTTTGTAAGTCTGGCAAACAGAGTTACGTTTTTTCCTGGCAGTTCAGCTTACTAGGTAGAAATTAGGTTCTATGTTTCATTAAATAAAAGGTAGTCTGAGAATCGCAGCTGTATGAAAATTAGGATGTTTCCAAATAAGTTAAACAATTATAAGCTGTCTGTAATCTAAAAATTTAGGAGCCTGAAAAAAAAATCCTTCCAACAAATATTTTTACACACAACCTCTTTAGGTTGCCCCCTTGTTACCGTGACCATTAAATATACATTATAAACAGCTGCTTTCAAAGTTCCTGAACACATCCAGAGGAACCCATGCCCCTGCCCAGCTACCTCTAAACCTAATTTCATGTATTTGAATCTGGCCTATCACTTGTGACATAATTTTTGAGTAAGTTAGCCTCGATGCCATCCATTTATTCATTAAATGCTTTCAAACCCATCTACAATATACTGTCAGGTATCATCATCCAAGCATCTTGAAGAACACTACTGCAAATACAAGACTGAAGTTAAGGGAAAATAAAACTTCAGCTGTTTTCTCACCGACGAAAAACAACGTTGTAGAAGGGAATGCACAGGTCAGAGGAGGGCTCCAGGATCTTTGTCATCTGAATCTTAATGCTGATTTCAGCACCATCTGTTTTCCTGTGACTTTTTAACTCAAGAACCTAACAAATAAATACAAGTAAAACAAAATGACGAAACTAAGAACTAATGATCAAGTCCTCATCTTATTCAATGGTGCTCTTAAAAACACTGAAGTATCTTAAAACATTTTTCAACTTTCCCCCTCACTTTGCTGCCCACACTGGCAAAAGCACAGCATGCCCACTACGATTTAGAAACAATTTAGTAAGAGAATCCCAACCAAGTTCACATTTGCAATTGTCAGTTACTCTGTATCACTGCAGTCAGACTTCCAATCATTCTTCTCAGGTGAGAATGTGCTTCTTGAGGAGTTCAAACCTAAAATGTGCTGTTATGTACTGCGGAAATCTGTCTTTCCTTCTATGAACAGAAAAGTACAACTCGAACGTTCAGGAAGTCTATGGTTTCCTACCCCTCAAAACACCAGTGCTGGGCCAGGTACAGTGGCTCACGCCTACAATCCCAGGACTTTGGGAGTTCCAGACCAACCTGGGTAACACAGCAAGACCCAATCTCTTAAAAGCCAAACCAAACAAAAAACACCAGAGCACTTTTAGGGTTCATCTAAAAGTCCATTTTCTGTTTGGTCTCACTTGTTGAAGCTTAACAGGCAGATAGAGAATAGATCCATCAAACGCAGTAACGTTGCCGGTGACAGCTTGATGGTCCTTCAACATGCCGAATCTCATGCTTTTGCATTCCACATTGGGGCTGGAAAATAATGCAGAGGGTTTTCTTTCAACTTGACTCATACAACCATCTTCACCACCGCTGTGCAACAGGTGCTAGTTACCCAGTAACTGCTACTCCATCTAGTGGCCATATTAAAAGTGATCTATCTGACCAGAACTTTGACTCAAGAATACCTGCTCACAGCTAAAACATCAGAAAATATAGGTTTAAAATAAAAATTAAAACCACCCCTAAATTCCACCACCAAAGGACACTTGCCTTAGCATGTCAGTGTATATTCTTTCATATGTACATATTTTTTATGAGATGGAGTCTCGCTCTACCACCCAGGCTGGAGTGCAGTGGTGCAATGTCAGCTCATCAAAACCTTCACCTCCTGGGTTCAAATGATTCTCCCTTTCTGTTTCCTTAACATTTGTCAATCAATGTTTCTCTGAAGAAAGGGTACTCCCCTTTTTAAAATTTTTATTTATTTATTTTTTGAGATAGGATCTTTCTCTGTTACCCAGGCTGAAGTGCAGTGGGATGATCATAGCTCACTGCAGCCTCAAACTCCTGGGCTCAAGTGATCCTTCTGCCTCAGTCCCCCAAGTAACTGGGACTGTAGGTATACCACCATACCTGGCTAATGAAAAAAAAATTTGTTTGCCCCAGCACGGTAGCTCATGCCTGTAATCCCAGCACTTTGGAAGGCTAAGGCAGATGGATCACTTGAGCCCAGGAGTTCAAGACCACTTTGGCCATCGTGGTTTCCTATCCCTCATTCTACAAAAATACAAAAGAAGTGGGGTGTGGTAGCATGTGGTTGTAACCTCAGCTACTTGAACTCCTAACCTCAAGCAACTGTCCCTCCCTGGCCTCCCTAAATGCTGGCATTACAGACGTGAGCCACTGCACATAGCCCTCTCCCTCTCTTTAACGCTCACCTCTTTGCTGTACGTTTCACAACAAGCCTGTTTCCTGGATCCATTTCCCCCTCTTTTCTGGCTCCTTCCCTCTACTTGTTGAATGTGCTCAGCTCTGCTTTCCTACCTCATAGAAACTGTTAAAGCAATTCTGTTGCCTTTTTTAATTATTCCATTTCTCATTCTCTTACAAACTATTTAAATGAGTGGCCAAGTCACTGGCTACTTCTTATGGCCTATGCCCTCCTTTGTGCTTTTCATCTTTCCTTTTTTTATTTTTCTCTACAACTTTAACAAAACTACTAGAAGATCACCAAGAATACCCTCACAAGCAAATCCAGTTACTTTCTTTTCTAGGGCCAAACTCAACCACCTTCTCATTCTCTTCATTCAAATGGACCCTCCCTTTGGTCTTCCTAACATACCTTCAGGATATTTTCTCCCTAACAGTTCCTTTCTTCTTTCACTGCACTTCTTCCTCTTGTGTCATCAACTAGCAGCTGTCCTTCACAAATTCAGCCTTCCTAGTATAGCTACCTTTAGAAATAGTGTGGAAGTTTCTAGCCAGGCATGGTGGCTTATGCTTGTAATTCCAGCACTTAGGGAGGCCGAGGAGGGTGGATTATTTGAGGTCAGGAGTTCAAGACCAGCCTAGTCAATATGGCAAAACCCTGTCTCTACTAAAAAAATTACAAAAATTAGCCAGGTATGGGGGCATTTGCCTGTAATCCCAGCTACTAGAGAGGCTGAGGCAAGAGAATTGCTTGAACCTGGGAGGCAGAGGTTGCAGTGAGCTGAGATTGTACCACTGTACTCCAGGCTGGGTGACAGAGTGAGACCCTGCCTCAAAAAAACAAAAAAGAAACAATATGAAAGTTTCTTTTAAAAACTAAAAATAGTACTACAGGTGATCCAACAATCCCACTTCTGGGCATTTAACCAAATGAATTGAAATCTGTGTGTCAAAGAGATACGTGCACTCCCAGGTTCACTGCAGCACTAGTCACAACGGGCAACACATGGAAATGATCTCAGTGTCTATCAGTGGATGAATGGATAAACAGTGGTATACATACACAAGGAATACATGTAGCTTTTAAAAAGAAGGACATCCTGTCATTTGTAACAATGTGAAAGAATCTGGAGGACATTCAGCTAAGTGAAATAAGATAGGTACAGAAAGACAAATACCATCTGATCTCACTCATACATGGAATCTAAAAAAGCTGAACTCATAGAGCAGATAGTAGGAAGATGGCTACCAACAGCCATGTTAACAACAGTGTGTATTCCAAAATTCCTAAAAGAGAGTTTAAATGTTTTCACCACAAAAAAAACAGTAAGTGGGTGAGGTGACAGATGTCAATTAGCTTGAATTAATCTTTCTACAATGTATACATATACCAAAAACATCACATTGTACCCATACAGATACACAATTATTTTTCAATTAAAAAAACTGAAATATCTATATCTTCTCATTTTCTTCAGATATTTCAAAACACTCATTTTCACAATTCCAGCTAAGAACTTCCAGCTAATGACTCCTCTAAGATATTAAAAGGTATTAAAAGAGAACACAAACTAATATAAACTATTTTTAACAGTAATCAATCCAAAAATTATTGATATAAAACTAAAATTATCTTCCTTAATTTTCTCACCCCTAAATTTAATCCTAGACTGTCACTGGAGAGATGTCAGATGTTGGTATGATAGCTAATGCAGGGAAGGATCCAGGTTTCATGGGCGATGAATTTTATACTACTGGTTGGTGGCGGGGAGGGTTCTTTAATAATACAAAATTACACATACAAAATAAGTTCAAAGATCAAGGAAGACACCTAATGCAAGTTTTAAAAAATGCTGAACTTAAGCTTCATTAATTTCACATTAAATCAACTTCCAACCTCAGGGCTGGACACGGTGGTTCACGCCTGTAATCCCAGCACTTTGGGAGGCTGAGGCAGGTGGGTCATGAGGTCAGGAGATCAAGGCCATCCTGGCCAACATGGTGAAGCCCTGTCACTACTAAAGATACAAAAATTAGCTGGGTGTGGTGATGCATGCTTGTAATTCCAGCCACTCAGGAGGCTAAGGCAGGAGAACCACTTGAACCAGGGAATCGGAGGTTGCAGTGAGCAGAGAGCACACAATTGCATTCCAGCCTGGCAACAGAGCAAGACTCCCTCTCAAAAAAAAAAAAAATCAACTTCTAGCCTCATGTATAAATCTACACCCTATAAAGCTAAAATCAGAATTGACAATATAGTGAAATACTTACAGAAAGTTTAACATTAACTTTAAACTTCCTGTAAAGATCTGAGTAAATGTATCATCATATTGGGAGGTCCACCAGGAACTGTACAGAACAATATTTAGTTATTCCAGGGGAATTTTTTTTTTTACTGCCCTCTAAGAAGTGAATAACACAAAGAAAAGCTGTGAATACCTGAAAGTCACATGATATTGATAAACTGCTTCATTATGACATTGTATTTTAATGAGGTTCAGTCCCAAAGACTGAGGTGTTCCTTTTGATCCTTGCTTCACAATAAGCTCTCTAGAAAATAAAAACAAAAAACAACTACATGTATCACAAACAAAAAATGAAATAACTAACCAACCCACACAACACACAACAGAAAGATTGGGAGAAGTAACATTTTTTCACTTTGTACAGATACACAAACCAAGAGCCAACACTTACAAAAGCAAGCTCTGAAGGCTAGAAGACAAATCATTGGCAAGTCCTAATTAGATAAGCAAGGTCACCCTATCTTTCCTATTAACATTACCCAAATAAACTAGGCTACTTAACTAAGAACACAAGAACGAGTTCTTTAGAGAAAGACGAGGTATCACAATCTTCTTCCTAAATGATTTCCTTATCTTCATAACCTCTGAATTGGGAAGGAAATGAAAGGCGGAGTCCACTCTTTGGTGCATGCTGTTATGTCCACTGTCAAACACATTTAACTTCAGAAATTGTTCCATCTCGGCCGGGTGTGGTGGCTCACACCTGTAATCCCAACACCTTGGGAGGCTGAGGCAGGGGGATCACCTGAGGTCAGGAGTTCAAGACCAGCCTGGCCAACATGACAAAACCCCGTCTCTACTAATACAAAAAAAATTAGCTGGGTGTAGGCCACACATCTGTAACCCTGGCTACTTGGGAGGGCTAAGGTATGAGAATTGCTTAAACCCGGGAGACGGAGGTTGCAGTGAGCTGAGATTGTGCTACTGTACCCCAACCTTTGTGACAGAGTGAGAATCTGTCTCAAAAAAAAAAAACTGTCCCACCTCTTTGTCAATCTCCCACTGGCAAAAATCAAAACACCCTGCAGTATTTATCACCCAGGGAAGACTTTAGACCCAACAAAAATAGATTTTACAATACTACACACCAGCCAAAATGCAGAGTTTTTGCGATCATTACTAAGTAGAGAAGGCAGTGCTCCTGACTTACTTTTCCTTGTGTTCCACAGTCAGGACCAGAGGGTGATCTGGAGAGTGCAGAGGGGACTGGGGCAGAGCTGGTGGTGATACCAGCTGCGGGGGATCCCGGAATGGTGCACTGAAGGCACAGGGAGGTTTGTCCATTCCTCTGCCAATACCACCTGCTGCTCTTCCCAGTGGTAACAAAGAAGCATCTGAACTCCCTCTCCCAAGCATCCTGAAATGTGGAGAGGCAAATCAGGACTTTTCTATAATAGTTATGTCCCATCCAGATTTTTCCCCCAACTCTACAATCACTTCCTGGAGGAGTCAGCAAAAGGCGATCCAAGCATAGCCTTCGGATTCTCTCAAAATACATATGCCAAGGCCAGGTGCAGTGGCTCATGCCTGTAATCCTAGCACTTTGGGAAGCTGAGGTGGGCAGACGGCTTGAGCCAGGAGTTCAAGACCAGCCTAGGCAACACAGTGATACCCTGAACTACAAAAAACAGAAAAATCAGCCAGGCATGATGGCTAATGACTGTAGTCCCAGCTACTCAAGTGGCTGAGGTGGGATCACTTGAGGCTGGGAGGTCGAGGCTGCAGTGAGCTGAGATCATACCACTGCACTAACGCCTGGGTGACGGAGACCCAATTTCAAAACAAACAAACAACAACAACAACAAAAAACACAACATATGCCATCATGACTCATTAATACCGACTGTCAGAACCATCTTCCATAGCAGAATAGAGAAGAAAGTTTGACTTAACGTTATTTAAAGAATCATCATGGCCGGGGGTAGTGGCTCACACCTGTAATTTCAGCACTCTGAAAGGCCTAGGCAGGCAGATTGCCTGAGTTAGGAGTTCGAGACCAGCCTGGTTAATACGGTTAAACCCCGTCTCTACTAAAAATACAAAAGTTAGCCAGGCATGGTGGCGCACACCAGTTATTCAGGAGGCTGAGGCAGAAGAATCGCTTGACCCTGGGAGGCAGAGGTTGCAGTGAGCCGAGATCACACCACTGCACTCCGGCCTGGTGACAGAGCAAAAAAAAAATCACCACAATCAGGGTAATTTGCAGTAATTTGTTAAGAACACAAATGAATTTCTTAACAGCCCAGTGGAGAACTACTTCTTACCCTTTTCCAAAGCTAGTTATGTCAACAACTGCTGACTACTCTTGGCAAATGTGCATTCTTTAATATAAAACTGGACATTCATTGTTTATGAGATGACACAACCCTTCTTAGGAGTTGCTCTCTGAACTTACAGAGATATTCCATCTGAATTTGATAGTTACCTGAGAAGGTAAGTTTACCCACCTATTCCAACCAACAGAGGCCTCTGCCATCTTGCTGTCCCCAGCTGCCAACACTTTTGAATCCCAAAAAGTGGGACAGAGTTCCTCCTTGTCTTTGCGTTCCAGATTAGCTGACAAGCCTCGACCTAAAATGCCTCTACCTGAAAGAAAGAACCAAACCCTAGCAATGACTATGAGTTAAACGTGTTTTAAAGTAGTTTTTTTTTTAAAGCACAGTTATGTTTCTGAAGATAAACAACTTGGATTTAAGAAGGAAGCAATCATACATACGACTGAATTTCTCAAGTTAGTTTTCCACATACCTGTTGGAGGCATTTCCCATTTCTGAGGGGTTTTGGAAACTGTTTCAATGCCCAGGCCTCGGAACATGGAGACCAAACCCACAGACTCCTGTGGAAAGTCAAAGAATAAAGTTCTAAGAGGTAGTTTAAAACCCCAGAAACAAGGGCTTTCTTAGTCTTGGTACATAATAAAAACCACCTTCAAATGCTATAAATGTTGTAAGAATAAAGGGAATAATATTAACTTTAAAAAAGACTTGTAACCATGTCATATTAGGTCTTTAAGCACAAAGGGTTACCATTAAAACCCATGATTTGATGTACAGTATAACAAAATATAGCAGAGCAGAATTAACTTTTACATTTTTATATTTCCTGTATATTCAAGGCAAGAGAGAACAAGTGTACAGGTTAATGAATTTTCAAAAAAGCTGGATCATTTATGATCTCGAGGTTTGGGTAACCCGCTACCATTTTCCTGTGGCAGTCTTCCACCTGCACTATTGTCACACCAGTTGGATCTGACATGGATAAAAGCTACCTACAGACTCAAGCAATTTATTTGAGTCAACATGTAAGATTACTGTCATAAACTTTTTTCCTTACAAAAATAATACATTTGACAATGTCAACTCTACTTAAAATAATAACTTCATTATTAGATTCTTCCTATATTTGCTAACTCTCTTTGACATATTAATTATAGACAAATATTCTTAAATTTACTTGATAAGAGATTAAGAATGCACACATGTAAGTATTCACACAGCAGCAATAACTGAAGATCCTTTTTCTTTAACATATGGGCAATGAGCCTTTCAAAGTGAGCAAATATTAAGTATTATGACCTCAGAGGCAAGAATTGCTGCTAATATAGAGCCAAAACCAGGGTGAAAATCTACATACTCAGAAAAGAACAAGAGATTATACCTTTAACCCTAACAATTACAGACAGAGGGATGGAGGGATGATTGAAAGCTAGAGAACCTATGGTACTTACCAAGTCCATCTAGTATTCATTATGAGGTACTTTTTCATACCTCTAGAAACTCTAGATTTGAAATGTATGTCCAGATGTATCTACTTGTTAAAGAAAAAAAAAGGACAAACTTGTTTCTGTTAAGGGCTTCCCAGTTTTGCAAGCACTTTGTTGTTGTTTTGAGATGGAGCCTTGCTCTGTCACCCAGGCTGGAGTGCAGTGGTGAGATCTCAGCTCACTGTAACCTCCACCTCCAAGGTTCAAGCAATTCTCCTGCTTCAGCTTCCTGAGTAGCTGGTATTATACAGATGCACACCACCACACCCGGCTAATATTTGTATTTTTAGTAGAGATGGAGTTTCACCATGTTAGCCAGGCTGGTCTCAAATTCCTGACCTCAGATGCTCCACCCACCTCAGCCTCCCAAAGTGCTGGTATCACAGGCGTGAGCCACCGTGCCTAGCCCTGCAAGCACTTTGAAATCCATTACCCACCTCTGACAGCACACAGATAAGCTGTATGCTGCTCCTATGCATCCAAACGTGGTCTTACCCTCTGTGCTGGCCCCCTCTGTGTGCTTGGTTCCTCTGGCTTTCCAAACACATGGCCTCTGCCTGCAGGTGCTCCTCTGCCCAGAGCTGGGTCCAAAGGTTTAGAAGCTTGTGGCCAACAGCCTGGCATCCGTACAGCCTGGCACTGGGATGGGTGGACAGGAGGCTGGCCCCTGAACGATGGTCGGAAAGGATCCATTCAAAGGCTGGAGAGGACACGTGTGTCGATCCTGTTTTGGTTAGTTACCTGCCAGCATTTTCAAAAGATTAAGGTTCCCAACTGTTTTCCTTTTCCTTTAAGACAGATTCACAAGCATTAAAAAAATATATAGAGTCAGTCCAGTAACACACCCAGCCTTCTACAACATATTCACTTCAAAGGCTTCTATTTGATCTGTAATATTCGAAACATCCTCCATTAACAATCCCTTAGAGCAGCGGTCCCCAACCCTTTTGGCACCAGAGACTGGTTTCCTGGAAGACAATTTTTCCAGGGGTGAGGGGATGGTTTCTGAGAGACTCAAACACACTACATTTATTGTGCACTTTATTTCTATTACATTGTAATAGATAATGAAATATAATAATTATACAACTCACCATAATGCAGAATCAGTGGGAGCCCTGATCTTGTTTTTCTGCAACTACATGGTCCCATCTGTGGGTGATGGGAGACAGTGACAGATCATCAGGCATTAGATTCTCATAAGGAGCATGCAACCTAGATCCCTTGTACGCAAAGTTCACAAGAGGGTTTGCGCTATGGGAATCTAATGCCACCAGTGATCGGACAGGAGGCGGAGCTCAGGTGATACTATGAGCCACAGGGAGCAACTGTCAATACAGATGAAGCTTTGCTCATTCGCCCACCACTCACCTCCTGCTGTGCAGCCCAATTCCTAACAGGTCCCCAACCAGTCTGTGGCCTGGGGGTTGGGAACCCCTGCCTTAGAGGCCCATGTCCTCCTTGAACTTACATTTTCTACCCAAATGGCCTCTCACAAAACTCAGTCCTGTAAGTTAACTACATGTTATAAAAGAAAGCAATTTTTTGTTTTTGTTTTGTTTTTGAGACGGAGTTTCACTCTAGTTGCCCAGGCTGGAGTACAGTGGTGCAATCTCGGCTCACAGCAACCTCCCCCTCCTGGGTTCAAGCGATTCTCCTGCCTCAGCCTCTCGAGTAGCTGGGATTACAGGCATGTGCCACCACGCCCAGCAAATTTTTTGTGTTTTTAATAGTTTTTCCATGTTGGTCAGGCTGGTCTCAAACTCCCAACCTCAGGTGATCCGCTCACCTCGGCCTCCCAAAGTGCTGGGATTACAGGCGTGAGCCACCGTGCCCAACCGAGGAAGCAGTTTTTTGGGAGGGTCTTGCACTGTTGCCCAGGCTGGAGTGAAGTGGCATGATCATAGCTCACTGCACCCTCAACCTCCTGTGCTCAAGTGACCCTCACATCTCAGCCTCCTGAATAGCTGGGATAACAGGCATGTACCACAACACCCCACTAATTTTTACAATTTCTGTAGAGATGGGGTCTTGCCATGTAGCTCAGGCTGGTCTCAAACACCTGGGCTCAAGTGATCTGCTGCTTCAGCCTTCCAAAGTGCTGGGATGACAGGCATGAGCCACTGTACCTGGCTATAGCAGTTTTTATGTACGAGGATGACTTTGATTTATAAAAAAATTTCTTTTCTTTTGAGACGGAGTTTCGCTCTTGTTGCCCAGGCTGGAGTGCAATGGCGCAATCTTGGCTCACTGCAACCTCTACCTTCCAGGTTCAAGCGATTTTCCTGCCTCAGCCTAGGGAAGTAGCTGGGATTACAGACGTGTGCCACCATCCCTGGCTAATTTTGTATTTTTAGTAGAGTCAGGGTTTCTCCATGTTGGGCAGGCTGGTCTCGAACTCCCAACATCAAGTGATGCACCCGTCTTGGCCTCTGAAAGTGCCGGGATCACAGGTGTGAGGCACTGCGCCCGGCCTATAAACAATTTCACAGTTAACACAGTTGTATCATAAAATTATGGTCAATAAATATTTATGGGTTTTTGCTTTGTTTTTAGCCTCCCTTTCCCTTGATCTGTTTAGTTGTTTCTCCAAATCTCTATGCAATTCTTTTAAAAAAAATTCTTCTTTCAGGCTGAGCACAGTGGCTCATGCCTGCAATTCCAGCATTCTGGTAGGCCTACGTGGGAGGACCACTTGAGACCAGGAGTTTAAGGCCAGCCTTAGGAACACAGTAACAGACCCTGTGTCTACAAAAAGTTAACAAATAGAACAAAAAAATTTTAAAACCCTTTTCTTTTAAACTTTATCAGAAGTCTCCAGAGTACAGAACCTTTCTGGTAGGTTGCATTTAACACCCTTCTCTCTCCCAGGTTACCAGGGTGAGGCTCCCACCAAATCTAAAGCCCATCAGGTCTCTTCAAAATCACTTTATAACCTGTAGGTCAGGCATGGTGGCCCAGGACTTTGAGAAGCCAAGGTGGGTGGATCACTTGAGGTCAGGAGTTCAAGACCAGCTGGGCCTAAATAGTGAAACCCTGTCTTTACTAAAAACACAAAAATTAGTTGGGCATGGTGGTGCACACCTGTAATCCCCCCTACTCAGGAGGCTGAGGCACAAGAATCGCTTGAACCTGGGAGGCGGATACTGCAGTGACCCAAGATTGCACTCAAGACCCAAGATTGGCACTCTAGCCTGAATGACAGAGAGACTGTCTTTAAAAAAAAAAAAAAATCACTGTGTAGCCTACAGATTTCAGGACTCCCTCTTTAGGGAGCTCCTCTCATGGTCCTGACTTGCCCCTGATTTCTGAAAAATATTTCTTAACGGGAAATAATTTTTTTTTTTTTTTAAAGACAGGGTCTTACTGACTCATCCTGGCTACAGCTAAGTGGTGGGATCTTAGCTCACTGCAGTCTCAGCCTCTTGTGCTCAAGCGGTCCTCTTGTCTCAGCCTCCCAAGTAGCTAGGACTATAGGCACCTGCCACCATGCCCAGCTAATTAAAAAAAATTTTTGTAGAGACGGGATCTTGCCATGTTGCCCAGGCTGGTCTCAAACTGCTGACCTCAAGTGATCCTCCCACTTCAGCCTCCCCAAGTGCTGGGATTACAGGTGGGAGGAGACTCCTTCTAACTTTCAAAAAGCTGTCTTAAGTATTAGCTAAAGAGAAATCTTACATTTAAAGAAAATATTAACACACAATTTGTAAGCACACAGCGTAAGTGCAGACAGTTCAAGAACTTGTGAAATGTCTTGAACTAAACTACCTTCTTTCACACTCCAAATGCACGATATGGTTACCTTTCTCGAAGGCTACATCAGCTCTCCCCTTTAATTGCTAATGCCCCTTTTCGGTGAACCAGAACTCCGTTCACAAGTCCCCAAGCAATCAGTATATTAATCACTACATACTCAGAAGTGCTGGACGGCATCCCTTATGAGACTTCCGGAATCTTCGTCACTGTCCACCCTTCCCTCAACCCCAGCATCACTTCTATAGATTCAGGCAGCTCCCCTACGAGGCCCTCTCCCAATGTGGATTTCCTCCTGGGATCAGGTAGCAAATACTTGGCTGACCGAAAGGTTCCACGGGCTGGGAACCCAGGACGTGCTGGGCCTGCCTCCCCTGAATCCCTGAGTGTGTGCTTGCTTGGCGCTGGGGCCTCCCGACCAGGGCCTAACCAGAGGCCCCTGAAGGCGAGTCCCACCCGCTTTCCACCCTGACAAAAGCACCCTTCCCCAAAGCCATAGCCCTGCAGGGGACTCTACCTCCCATTTCAGGCCAAACAAGAGGCCCACTCAGACATCCAGCTGGCCTCCCCTGCCGCCCCCGCCTGCGCACCTTCTCCAGCACCGTGCCTCGAATAACGACTTCCCGCCCCCGCCCGGCCTCCCTCCGAAGGCCCCAGCGCCACCGGGAAGCGAGAGGGAGACGCCTGGGAGGGCGGCTCACACCACGTGCTTGAGCAAAAGCCCACCCAGGCAGCCGCTGCACCTGGACCCGTCCTCTCACCTGGGCATTAGACCTCGCCACACTCGGCTGGCTCCGCGCGGCCTCAGGAGAAGACAGCACTCAACCCACGCCCCAGGGGCCACATGCTCCAGGGCCAATTTCCGGTCTTCGAGGCCTCAGGGGCTGAGCCCATTGGCCACAAGACCTGTCGCTCACAAGAGCCAGCTATATCATTGGCCTGTCTGAAAGAGAGGCTCGTCCTTTGCAGCAGATTCACTGAGCAGGGCAAGTTCATGTGGAAGGTGCGCTGGAAGTTAGGTGAGCCTAAGCGTTAAAATGTGTTAAGAGTTTGGTAATCCTGACTCCCTTTCTGGGGTCTACTCCTGTAAACAGATTTAGTTTAACACTCGAGTGCTGAAATTGACTTGCCCCATTCCTGCCACTTAGGGGATTAGCAATACAGGTGGTGAGGAAGAAAGGTAAACTAGAGTGTGCATTGAAACACCTAATCCATATGATTTCTGCACATCACTTTCCTTTATTTTTTTTTTCCCTTTGGCAGGTGAGCTGTTGCACACTCCTTAGCAGATTCCGACTTACATGGCCACTGTCCTGCTGCACTTTCCTTATACATAAAACAGATAAAAACTAAAATCATCCATTCATAAGGTTGAATGGAAATGTACACACATAATGACATAAGTATCTAAAATACTCAGCACAAGGAGAAGACGACCTTGATAAATGTTGTCTATTATTATTCATTGATGCTTAAGTCTGTGAGCCAAGAAGAGCTTTCTTGAAACCAGATTAAATTATTAGTGGTTACTTCAGCAGCAACTCCAGAATGATTTTTTTTTTTTTTTTTTTTTTTTAGACGGAGTTTCGCTCGTTACCCAGGCTGGAGTGCAATGGCGCGATCTCGGCTCACCGCAACCTCCGCCTCCTGGGCTCAGGCAATTCTCCTGCCTCAGCCCCCTGAGTAGCTGGGATTTTACAGGCACGCGCCACCATGCCCAGCTAATTTTTTGTATTTTTAATAGAGACGGGGTTTCACCATGTTGACCTGGATGGTCTCAATCTCTTGAGCTTGTGATCTACCAGCCTCGGCCTCCCAAAGTGCTGGGATTACAGGCGTGAGCCACCGCGCCCGGCCCAACTCCAGAATGATTTTACCCGAAGAAAGATTTCTGCCCCTCTCCCAACCATTCTGGCAAATAACTGCATCCCTCTCCCAAGCCCAGGTTTTACAGGGTGGTTGAGGTCAAGCTTCTGAAGTTGGCCATTGCTGCAGAGACATCCAAAGGCTCTGCAAGGAACAGGACTAGAGAAGGCTTAACCTTATCTTTTCCAGGCCTCAGGTATCCCATGCCTTGTTTTAGTCCACACATATAAGGGCCCTCCTCTCCTTCCCAAATGAGGATAGTCTGAAAATTATTGGAGCAGGATGATTTTCAACTCAGGAATCCAGTTGGTATGATGCCTCTTCACTGTTTGTAGATAGTATTTGTTTACCATGATCTAACCTTTTCACTTCCTTTACCACACAACCTTCTTAACTTGCAACTGTTAGAATATTATGTTGTAAACAATTCCCCTGCCTGTGCAAATACTTAATGGTAGCAAGTGCAGTCAAAAACGGTTATACAAAGTGCTTTGTAACCATCATGAAGATCCAACTCCCTGTTCTTTAGGGAACTCCAATCAAATTTTGCATGACACACTTATTCTATACACATGAAACAATGGTTTAGGTGCAGGATTCAGCAAATCTTCTAGTTGAAGTAAGGCAATAATAAACCTCAGATAATTTCCTGAACATGTCTGTCTGGGAATCTAAACCAAGAGAACCATTACAAAGGGTGTGCACACTGGGTTTCCTGGATTTCTATATCCTGTTCATGCAAGCGTAAGTGGCCTTTGTAGGGTATTTCTAGCCAATCCAGACATTAGGAACACTACTTATTTAACAAAAGGAAAATCCATATAGTCTTGCTGTTGACTGGACATAAAAATGGTTGAAGCTTTCTGAAACGTGGACATCTGTTTAGAATCTTTCAAAAGCTAATCAACCTCTCTTGGAGATTATATTCCCTAACAGAGTACGTTATTGTTAATTAGCCATCATTAGGTATTGATTAAAAAGGACACACAGAATCTCATCACAAAAAGATGAGTATGTGAGGTGCTGGATATGTTAACTTGATTTACTCATTCCACAATGTAAACAAATATCAGAAAATCACATTGTACCCTGTAACCATATGTAATTATTGTTAATATTTTTTTTTAAAAGGGGAAAAAAGAGCACATATGTCACACTAAGAGATAGTATTTTCAGATAAATTACAGATTTTTTGTTTTACTCAAAAAAGTCATAACATTAAATTCTGTCCACCTGGCCCTGCTAGTCTCTAAAATTCAGAGTGAAAACGTCCCCATAACTACATGTAATCTGAATTTTCCTAGGCAGTCTTCACTCCAAATACCCTGGGCACTTGGTCCCCATAAGTATTTCTATTCCAACCATGTATTCTGGTTTGTTGTTGTTGCTGTTCAGCAGACTGCCAGAGCCACAGCAAGATTAAGGGCATAAAATTACCTTACTGGTGGAGCCTAATACCTATAGGTAGGATTTCCTTTAAAGTGGACCTATGTAGTATGCCTGGGTTCCTGGGAGAGATAAATAGGAATCCTTCCAGGAGAAGTACACCAGGACCCCAAAACTCCCTGTGTAAAAAGTATTAATAAATATGAGCTCACAGAACACATCAGGCTGAATAACAGGAAGACAAACAATCCAATTAAAAAAAAAAATGGGCAAAAGTCATGGTGGCTCACACCTGTAATCCCAGCACTTCAGGAGGCTAAGGCAGGTGGATAAAGTGAGGTCAGGAGTTCAAGACCAGCCTGTCAACCTGGTGAAACCCTGTCTCTACTAAAAATACAAAAATTAGCTGGGCGTGGTGGTGGGTGCCTATAACCCCAACTACTCAGGAGGCTGAGGCAGGAAAATCACCCGAACCTGGGAGGCAGAGGTTGCAGTGAGCCAAGATCATGCCATTGTACTCCAGCCTGCGCAACAAGTACAAAATTCAGTCTCAAAAAAAAAAAAAAAAACGGGCAAAAGATGTGAGCCGACCTGTCTCAGTCCATCAGTCCCTTTAGTGTTATTATAAAGGAATACCTGAGGCTGGGTAATTTATAAAGAAAAAAGATTTACTGAGCTCAGGGTTCTGCTGGCTGGAGGGTTCAAGACTGGACATCTAGGCCGGGCGTGGTGGCTCACATCTGTAATCCCAGCACTTCGGGAGGACGAAGTGGGTGGATCATGAGGTCAAGAGATGGAGACCATGCTGGCCAACATTATGAAACCTGTCTCTACTAAAAATACAAAAATTAGCTGGGTGTGGTGGCATGCACCTGTAGTCCCAGCTACTCGGGAGGCTGAGGCAGCAGACTCGCTTGAACCTGGGAAGCAGAGGTTGCAGTGTGCTGAGATCACGCTACTGCACTCCAGCCTGGGCAAGAGTGAGACTCCATCTCAAAAAAAAAGACTGAACATCTGTGCTCAGGCTGCTTCCACACATGGCAGAAGGCAAAGAGACCTGGCCTGTGCAGAGATCACATGGAGAGAGAAGAAGCAAGAAAGAGAGGGGAGGGAGGTGCCAGGTTCTTTTTAACTACCAGTCCTTGTTGGAACTACTAAGCTTTTTAGTAGAGGCAGGGTTTGACCATGTTGCCAGCCTGGTCTTGAACTCAGTGGTTTTCGGGTGTGAGCCACCACCCCTGACTGGAGCTATAAAATTTCATGGAATTTGCCTTGCTCATTTTTGGACTGGCTTGAGACCCATTATCACTTTCTACTTTCTGATCTCTCCCTTTTGAATGGGAATTATACTATGTTGTCCGACTGCTGTAATTTGGAAGTACATAACTTGTCCAGTCGGGTTACAACTGAAGAGAAACTGTGACTCAGTCCCGCTCATAACTGATTTAGATAATACAGTTGTCCTTCAGTATCTGTGGAGTATTGACTTTTAGGACCTCACTCCATGGATACCAAGATTCACAGATGCTCAAGTTCCATATATAAAATGGTGTATTTTATATTTGCTTATAACCTATGCACACCTTCCTGTATACTTTAAATCCTCTCTAGATAACTTATAATACCAAATACAGTGTAAATGCTACATAAATAGTTGTTACACTGTATTGTTTAGGGAATAATTATAAGAAAAAAAGTCTGTATGTGCTCAATACTGATGCAAACATCCTTTTTATTTTTTTTGTTTGTTTGTTTTTGAGACAGAGTTTCGCTCTTGTTACCCAGGCTGGAGTGCAATGGCGCGATCTCGGCTCACCGCAACCTCCGCCTCCTGGGTTCAGGCAATTCTCCTGCCTCAGCCTCATGAGTAGCTGGGATTACAGGCACGCGCTACCATGCCCAGCTAATTTTTTTGTATTTTTAGTAGAGACGGGGTTTCACCATGTTGACCAGGATGGTCTCGATCTTTTGACTTTGCGATCCACCCGCCTCAGCCTCCCAAAGTGCTGGGATTACAGGCTTGAGCCACCGCGCCCGGCCCCCTTTTTGTTTTTTCAAAATATTTTTGATGTGTGGTTGGTTTAATCCATGGATGAGGAACCCATGGATAAGGAGGGCCTATTGTATTTAGATGAGACCTTAGACTTGCAAATAATAGTGAAATGGTATAAGACTTTGGGAGCTGTTAGGATGGGGCAAATGTGTTACATTTGAGAGATACATGAATTTGGGGGGGACAGAGGGAGAAATGTTATGGAGTGAATTGTGTTCCTCTCACAAAACCCTATGTTGAAACCCTAATCCCCTATTTTTGGAGATGGGAGTATGCAGGGAGATAATTAAGGTAAATGAGGTAAGGAGGAGGCCTGATCTAGTAAGATCTGTGTTCTTAGAGAAGAGGAAGAGACATGAGATCTCTATCTCTAACCATCTCTCTTCATGGAAGCACAGACACAAGGCCATGTGCAAGATGGCGGCCATCTATAAGCTAGGAAGACAGCACTCATCAGAAATCAAATTTGCCAGCACCTTGATCATGGAATTGTAGCCTCCAGAACTGTGAGAAAACAAATGTATGTTGCAGAGGCCACCCAGTCAGTGGTAATTTGTTATGGCAGGCCTGGCTGACTAATAGAATAACAGATGTCAGCAAGGATGTGGTGGAACAGGAACCCTCACACATTGCCAGTGGGAACGTACAATGACGCAGCCTCTTTCGGAAACATTTGGCAGTTTCCCAAACGGTTAAACAAAAAATTACTGTAGGAACCAAAATTTCACTTCTTGGAAACTACCTAAGAAAAATGAAAACATGTCCATGCAAAACTTGCATGCAAATGTTCATGGGAGCATTATTGATAATTGCCAAAAACTTAACCTAAATATCCATCAACTGGTAAATGGATAGAAATTTGTGTGCTCAACAATAAGGATAAGTTTAAAAAAAAAAAAAAAAGGAGGCCTGGCACAGTGGCTCATGCCTGTAATCCCCACACTTTGGGAGTCCAAGGTGGGTGGCTCACCCAAGGTCAGGAGTTTGAAACCAGCCTGGCTAACATGATGAAACCCCATCTCTACTAAAAATACAAAAAAATTAGCTGGGCGTGGTGGTGGGCACCTGTAATCCTAGCTACTCGCAAGGCTAATACAGAAGAATCGCTTTAACCCAGGGTCAAAGGTTGTAGTGAGTCAAGATCACGCCACTGCACTCCAGCCTGGGCAACAAGAGCAAAACTCTTGTCTCAAAAAAAATAAATAAATAAACAAGATGTGGTATATATTCACACAACGGATGGATTCATCAATAAAAAGGAACCAACTACTGCACTATGGCATGGATGAACCCCCAAAAATTTGTTAAGCCAGACATATATAAAAGAAGCCAGACGTAAGAGACCACATATTGTGTGATTCTGTTTATGTGAAATGTCTAGAAAAGGTAGATCTATAGAGGCAGAATGTAAACTAATGGTTGCCTGGGGCTGGGAGTGGGAATTAGGATAAACTGTAAATGTGCATGACGGCTTTTATCAGGATGATGAACACGTTCAAAAACTGATTTATGGCGATGTTTGTACCACTCATTAAATTTACCAAAAATTATTGAATAGGATAAATTATATGATATGTAAAATATATCTTAATAGAGGCATTTTTTAGAAAATACACATTAAGAAACAAGCAGAGCACTCTGCAAGGCCGAGGTGGGCAGATCTCTTGAAGTCAGGAGTTCAAGACTAGCCTGGCCAACATGCATAGCAAAACCCATCTCTACTAAAAATACAAAAATTAGCCAGGCATGGTGGCACATGCCTGTAATCCCAGCTACTCATAAGATGAGGCAGGAGAATTGCTTGAACCTGGGAGGTACAGGTTCTTCTGAGCTGAGATTTTGCCACTGCACTCCAGCCTTAGCAACAGAGTAAGACTCTGTCTCAAAAACAAAAAAACAAAAACACGGCAAAAGAACAGACAGAAACTGCAGTGAACAAAATGAGATTCAGAAATATTTCAAAAAATTTTATTACTGAACATGGAATATAAACATACTGTTTCAAGAAATAAAGGTGGCAATTGAAACAATGAGTGAAGAGCAGAGGCAGGCCAGGTGCAGTGGTTCATGCCTGTAATCCCAGCACTTTGGAAGGCTGAGGTGGAAAGACTACTTGAGTTCAGGAGTTTGAGGCCAGCCTGGGCAACATGGCAAAACCCTATCTCTACAAAAAATAATTTTTAAAAAATCGGCCAGGAATTGGGAGGATAAGGTAGGAGCATCACTTGAGCCTGGGAGGTCGAGGCTGCAGTGAGCTCTGACTCCACCACTGCACTCTAGCCTAGGCCATAGAATGAGACTCTGTCTCAAATAAAAAAATAATAATAAAGAGCAAAGGCAACCAAAATTGATGAGGCAAGTTTGGGAAAGAACCAAAATAGAACTTCTAAAAATGAATCATGTAATAGAAATTAAACACTCAAAGGAAAATTACACAAGAGAATAGATACAGTTAAAGGGGGACATCATGAGTTAGAAGATCAGCTGAAGGCCAGGTGCAGTGGCTCATACCTGTAATCCCACTACATTGGGAGGCTGAGGTAGGTAAATCACGAGGTCAGGCATTCAAGACCAGCCTGGCCAACATAGTGAAACTCCATCTCTACTAAAAATACAAAAAAATTTGCTGGGCATGCTGGTAGGCACCTTTAATCCCAGCTATTTGGGAGGCTGAGGCAGGAGAATCGCCGGGAGATAGAGGTTGCAGTGAGCTGAGATTGCGCCACTCACTGCACTGCAGCCTGGGCAACAGAGCGATTCCCATCTCAAAAAAAAAAAAAAAAAAAGATCAGTTCAAATATTTACCTAGAATGTAGCTCAGAGACAAAGAGAGGTGAAATATAGAGGCTGAGAGACACAGAGAACAGAGTTAAAACGCCCAATAAAGTTTGAGATGGAGTAATACAGAGTAGAGAGGAAAGGCAATATTCAAACATTTAATAGCTGAGAACATTTTAGATTTGATGAAAGATACAAATCTTTAGCTTCAAGAAGACCAATAACTCTGAAACAGAGAAGTAAAAAGAAATCTACACTTAGCACATCATTGTACTGCAGAATACCAAAGAAATGATTTTGAAAAGGAGTTATGAAGAAAAAAACACATTACCTATACATGAGTGAAAAGTGGACTCAGTAACAGTAATATTAATGGAAAAATCCAGGAAGAGAGTGGTATCATATATCCACAGTCCTGAGAGGTTAAGGGGAAAAAATCCTGTCAACCTAGAAATTGTATACCCAGTGAAATTTTCTTTCCGGACAAGGGTAAAACAAAGCATTTTCAGAGAAACACAAACTGACAGATTTACCTCCAACAAAGCCTCTCTGAAGAAATGGCTTTTTTTTTTAATGTATTTACTTTTTATTGAATTTGTTAATGTTACAGAGTTCTTGTACTGCCAAACCATGCCTGAGAATTCAAACAAATGGTACAATGCACAGCCTCATCCACCCATCATACAGTATATTAAAACCTGATTCATGTACATTTTGATATGTTCACAATCTTTTAAAAAGTTGTAACAAGAGTTGGAATTTAAACCCGCTGCAGGTCAGCAGATTTCGAGTACAGTATGCCTTTACATAACACCTCCACTTATTCATCTCTGTTCATTCCTCTCTGAAGAAATTTCTAAACACTAAGATAAAGAAAAAATGGGCCAGGTGACATGGCTCACCCTGTAATCCCAGTACTCTGGGAAGCCTAGGCAGATAGATCAGTTGATGCCAGGAGTTTGAGACCAGCCTGGGCAACATGGCAAAACCCTGTCTCTACTAAAAATACAAAAATTAGCTGGGCATGGTGGTGCAAGCTTTTAATCCCAGCTACTTGGGATGCTGAGGCATGAGAATTGCTTCAACTCAGGAGGTGGAGTTTACAGTGAGCCAAGATCATGCCTTTGTGCTCCAGTCTGGGCAATAAAACAAGACTGTGTCTCAAAAAAAGAAAAGAAGAAGAGGAGAGGGAGGGGGAGGGGCCCCCAGAAGGAAAGACTGGGAGAAAAAAAGCAATCATGAGTGTAGGAAGTGACTGAATAAAGGGATAACAAGTGTCTAATAGATGAATGACTTAGCCTAGATCCTCAGAAGGTAGGACCTGAGACAAAGATTTACTGCAAGTATTTTACTGGAGAGTGTGATCTGAGGGACAGGGGAATGATTCAGGCAGGGAGGGAGAGCTAATTCAAAGATACATTAGGAAGTTGGCCACTGCTACAATGATCTGGTTGCTCTATCCATCAGGCCCATTTGAGAAGACATATTAAGTCCATGTCAAGGCCACGTATCCTGTAGAAGCAAGGAGGATGCTTGTACCATTGACTCCTTTCCTTTGGTCAAAGATGCATCTCAAGGAGGATTAAACTCCAGTAGTTTGTAGTTGTACCATGGTGTCCCCATCCTGTTCCATACCTTGTCATCAATATGAAAGTCTCAGGGAAGAAGGCAGAAGATGCACAGAACAAGCCTGAGGTTAGGTTCTATCAGGGTGTATCTGTGTAGACCTGGTGGGTACCCACAGAGAACCGGTCAGTACAGGGCTGGCTAAATAAACAGACAGGTAAGACTGAGATGTGCAATGGGTAATAGAGATGTCCGATACAATAAAGTTTTTAAAAAGCCAAAAAAAAAAAAAAAAAAGATAAAGCCAAGAAGAAAAATAAGGCCTGGGTGATAGAATGAGAGTCTGTCTCACAAAAATAACAATTTAAAGAAAATTTTTTTAAGTGTCAGGGATGGGAGTTTAGTTTACTAATTTATGTAAGATGGTCAGGAAAGTCGGAGAGACCTGAAGGAATGGGGGAAGCAAGACATGCAGCGATGTGGGGAAAGCAAGTGGTAGGCAGCATCCTCAGCTGAGAAAGAACTGGGGAGAGGCAAAGGAGGCTTGAGGACACAGGGAAAGGTGTTAAGCAGTACTCCCTGGGGAGTGGGACAGTCAACAGACAAGGAGAATGGTAGTTGTTTTTTTTTAAATAAATCTTTAAAGGTTCATAACTCCCCCATCCCTGCGAAGTAACAGAGGCATGCATCATGTCTCCTTTAGGCAAAGCTCCTGGGAGCTCCCTGTCTTAGTCCATCTAGGTGCTGTTATAAATACCACAGACTGGGTAATTTGTAAGTAGAAATGTACTTCTCCCAGTTCTGGAGGCTAGGAAGTCCACGATGAAGATGCCAGCAGATCCAGTGGCTGTTGAGGGTTCGCCCTCTCTGCTTCCAGCAGAGGTGATGACACCTGGTTGCAGTGTCCTCACATGGTGGAAGGTGGAAAAGGGACAAACATTCCCACAAGCCCTTCTATGAGGGCAGTAATCCCATCCACGAGGTAGGAGCCCTCACAGTCTGATCACTTCCTAATGGCCCCACCTCTTAGTATTATATTGCACTGGGGACTAAATTTCAACATGCATTCTGGAAGGTCACAACCATTCAAACCTCAGCACTGCCCCATAATGTTTATGATTACATACCATTGTCCAGAAAGTAATCAGAGTCACCCCTGCCCTCAAAAGATGCTGTGTAAAAGTTGTCTTCGTATTGAATGATATGTGCCCTCCTAAAAGCCAAGGTTCATTATCTGGAAGAAGGTAAGAGTGGATAGATATTCAACAACCAAGAGCCTCTATCACTTTTTTGTGACAGTCTTGCTGTTGCCCAGGCTAAAGGGCAGTGGAGTGATTTCGGCTTGCTGCACACTCCACCTCCCGGGTTCACATGATTCTCCCGTCTCAGTCTCCCGAGTTGCTGGGATTATAGGTGTGCGCCACCACACCTGGAATTTTTGCATTTTTACTAGAGACAGGGTTTCACCATGTTGGCCAGTCTGGTCTCGAACTCCTGACCTCAAGTGATCTGCCTGCCTCAGCCTCCCAAAATGCTGAGATTACAGGCATGAAGCACCGTGCCCAGCCTCACCTTTAATCTTGTTGAAGCCTTGATCTTAGTTTCTGTAGAAATTAGAACTCTTTCTTCAGCATTCACGGTTTATATGTTTAATAAAAATTATGCATTTACCACATTTTCAACGGTAAAACTTTTAGCCCCCATATTTTATTGGTTTGTATAAAGTTTAAACTACAAAATTTTAAGTTAACTGCAGAAAAACACAACTAACTTTTGGAACACATGAGAACTGTGGGAGCTGTGTTTTCTAGCTCATTCAGCCCTTTAATGAAGAGAGGCACCATCCAGAGCGCCAGTTACAGGCCAGGTATCCTACTGAGCAGTGTATAACGTGTGTGTGTGTGTGTGTGTGTGTGTATTTTTTCTCCCCTTTTTTGAGACAGAGTCTCACTCTCACCCAGGCTGGAGTGTAATGGTGTGATCTCGGCTCATTGCAAACTCCACCTCCCGGGTTCAAGCAATTCTCATGCCTTAGTCACCTGAGTAGCTGGGATTACAGGTGCATGCTACCACGGGCCCAGCTAGTTTTTTATTTTTAGTAGAGATGGGGTTTCACCATGTTGGCTATGCTGGTCTCAAACTCCTGGCCTCAAGTGACTCCACCCACCTCAGTAGCCCAAAGTGTGAGATATAGGCAGAAGCCACTGCGCCCAGCCTAACATTTGTATAGTTTTAAAATGGAACCTTAATTACACAGTTAACTTTACAAATGCACTGCTGATGCACGGGTGAATATATGCAAACATTCTGGAGGGGAAAATCTAACAAAAGCTTTAAAAAAATCTCATAGAATTGGACTTCGCAAACTCCTGGGCTCAACTGATCCTTGCACCTCAGCCTCCAGAGTAGCTGGCACTGTAGGCTCATACCACCATGCCCAGTTAATTTTTAAAAATTTTTTTTCTAAAGAGCAGGTCTTGCTTGGTTGCCCAGGCTGGTCAGGAAAACCATTTTAAATAGAGAATCCTCAGGAAATAATTGAGGATACTGGCAACAATTTAACAGGTTTCTCTTTTTTTTGAGACAAGTTCTTACTGTCACCCAGGCTGGAGTGCAGTGGTGCAATCTCATCTCAGCTCACTGCAACCCTCCCGCTTCAGCCCCCCAGGTAGCTGGGAATACAGGCACAAGCCACCATACCTAGCTAATGTTTCTATTTTTTCCAGAGCCATGTTGCTCAGGCTGGTCTCAAACTCCTGAGCTCAAGTGATACACCAGCCTTGGCCTCCCAAAGTGCTGGAATCACAGGCTTGAGCCACCACCACGTGGGGCCACATCTTTTTTTTAAATGATGAAAAACTAGAAAAAACTAAATGTCCCAGAAATGGGAGATGACTTGGGTGATTTTTATAGTATGAAGATGGGTACCAACATAGCCATTAAAGTTGAGTTGTACAATGTAAGAGACGTTTCTACAAGAATTCTTGAGATCATCTTGCCCTGGAGAAAGGTCTGAGAGCCACACTGGATATGGCTCGTGTAGGTAGTGAGTGTGCTTTCGTTGGGGATACACTGTTTTGAGGGAATGAATTGGAGAGAACTGTTGGCAGGACGGCAGTCTCAGGAAGCCTCACTCAACTGTGAATCCTTATGCCAACTCTTGTGAATATGGCTGGGTGGCATCCCCACCCACTCTACTCCCTCACCACTTTCTAAGGTGGAACCTGAACTGCAGGGGCCAGAAAGCGAAACACCCTATTTCCCCTAAATCTCTTGTGTGCTAGCGTTCTGGGCATGCCTAAGGTCTTATGAGTTGAGAGTTGAAAGGTGGAGGTAAACTTGAGGCCATCCTCTTCACTTTGGCTGTTTTCCACTGCGAGAGCTATGGAGTGAGCCTGACTCTTCTCACAAATCTCACACTGACTCTATCAGTGGATCACGGTGGTGCTACACTTGAAATCAGTATCTAGAATCCAATTGCTTCCCAGCACCTCTGCTGTTAGCAGCCTGGCCAAGCCACTGCCAACCACTGCCCAGAGAGTCCATCAGGCCTGCTTCCCGCCTCACTTCCACACCACAGCCAGCTCACTAGGTCACTTTAAAAAGTCAAGGTCCCTGTGGTAGCCTAAAAACCCTCCAGGACCAGGTACCACCTCTCTCTCCCTCAGCTTCAGCCAATCTCTGTCTCACTCTTTGCTGAGCCCAGAGTACTCTCCCTACTAGCTTCTGATACCGCTGGTTCACTTCCTCAAAGAATACCTTCTCAGGGAGGCCTACCCTACTTGCCACATCGTGCCTACCACCACCCAGAATCCTCCATTCCCTGCAAGTTTCCAAACTCTTGTCACCTTCTAACTTCGTTCCATATGCTTATCCCATCTCGTCCCTAGAGCGCAGGCTCACGCAGAATGCAGCCTTCTGTTTCTCCTGCAGCAGCGCCTAGCACATGGCAGGCACTTTCTTCAGTGTGCCAGTGTCCAGCTACAGCTGTGTGGTTCTCCAGAGGCAGCTGAGGCGGTGGGATTCCCTCAGCCCTGGCTGGCAGCTGTGGCAGTGTGTCGTGTTCTGGAACTCAGTCGAACTCCAGAGTCTCCACATTCCTGACTATGGCAGAGGGCGTAGTTCCCTCACCATCTGTTCTACGGGGTTTTGATTCCTGGATGCTCAACCTATGGCTCCCTCCTCCAGCCTTCCACGGAGTCTATAAACTTATCTTCCTGTATTAACTCTTTCTGCTTAGAATGCCTAGAATGGTTTCTACTTGTCCAGTGAACCCTGCAAAATACATAAGATACAGTGTGCAGGCCAGCAGTGATCAAGACTGCATTTTTCTTTTTCCTTCATGTGAGCTTTCTCAAGATATAAAGACTGCATTTTTTTTTCTGACTAGGTCTTAAATGTAGATGAACCAAATAACAAAGTCCAACTTCTGACTCCATTTTTGGGGAGACAGATCAGTGGTTACCCCAATGAAAGGGAACAGAAGAAATGCTTTAGAAAAGCTGAGGCAGAAGGTGGCCACGCAGAGGTGCTCCTAGAGGTGGCATCCTATCACCATCTCTGTTTTTTCAGATGACACCCCTAAGACCTGAGCCCCTTCTGGGCCCCATGCTTTACCTGTAGAACTTTGGTGGGGCCTTGTGCAGCCAAACCACAATCCAAGAGGAGGTGTTCATATCATCTGTTGCTAGCACAGCCATCTCCACAGGGGAAAAGCCCCAAACGTGGACGTATCCAACGCCAGCACTGGTTGGAGCACTGGATGAACAGTGTGGGTGCCGCCCTTTCACTGTGCACTGTCCTAAGAAGTCTCTTTTCCTTTGAAGAGCCTAGTGCTGAGTGCTCAATTCAATCAGACCACGCTGGGGGCGGTCCAAGGATTAAAAGATGCTATCTGGCCGAGTGCAGTAGTCACACCTATAATCCCAGCACTTTGGGAGGCTGAGGCAAGCAGATCACGAGGTCTGGAGTTCAAAAACAGCCTGGCCAACATGGTAAAACCCCAGCTCTACTAGAAATACAAAATTAGCCAGGTGGCAAGTGCCTGTAGGTCCCAGCTACCTGGGAGGCTGAGGCGGAAGAATTTCTTGAACCTGAGAGGCAGAGGTTGCAGTGAGCTGAGATCAGGCCACTGCACTCTAGCCTGGGTGACAGAGTGAGACTCCATCTAAAAAAAAAAAAAAAAAAAAAAGATGCTATCTTTTAATTCCTTCAGCTAATTCAGAAGTATGTGAAACACAAAATACTCATTAACATGGAAGAACTGCATATGACCAGATGTGGATATGTATTATTAATTTTTCAGAGCCAAGGTCTCACCATGTTGCCCAGGCTGGTATTGAACTCCTGGGCTCAAGTGATCCTCCCACCTCAGCCTCCCAAGTAGCTGGGACCAAATTGTATATGTTTTTGAGTGAGATAGAGTACATGATAAAACCACATATTTATTTTATTTTTATATATTTATTTTTTTGAGATGGAGTTTTGCTCTTGTTGCCCAAACTGGAGTGCAATGGCATGATCCTGGCTCGCTGCAACCTCCACTTCCTGGGTTCAAGTAATTCTCCTGCCTCGGCCTCCCAAGTAGCTGGGATTACAGGCATGTAACACCATGCCTGGCTAATTTTTTGTATTTTTAGTAGACATGGGGTTTCATCATGTTGGTCAAGCTGGTCTCAAACTCCTGACCTCAGGTGATCCACCCACGTCAGCCTCCCAAAGTGCTGGGATCATAGGTGTGAGTCATTGCATAATTTATATCACATAATTTAAACCACATAATTTATATCACTATAACATAAAAAATTTTGGAGACTGAAATAAGACATGAGGAGTCATAAAAAATAATGAAATCATGTCCTCTGCAGCAACATGGATGGAGCTTGAGATTATTATCCTAAGTGTACTTAGAAACAGAAAATCAAATTGCACATGTTCTCACTTATAAGTAGGAGCTAAATAATGGGTAAATATGGACATAAAGATGGAAATAACAAACCCTGGGCACTCCAAAATAGGGTGAGTGAGAGGGGGCCAACGGCTGAAAAGTTACCTTAGTACAATGTTCACTATTTGGGTGACGGGTACAACAGAAGCCCGACCCCCAGCAGTAATCAATATACACAAACATGCGCATGGGGCCGGGTGCGGTGGCTCACACCTGTAACCCCAGCACTTTGGGAGGCCGAGGTGGGTGGATCACTTGAGGTCAGGAGTTCAAGACCAGCCTGGCCAAACCGTGTCTCTATTAAAAACACAAAAATTAGCCAGGTGTGGAGGTGGGCACCTGCAATCCCAGCTATTTGGGGGCTGAGGTGGGAGGATCACTTGGACCTGGGAGGCAGAGGTTGCACTGAGACAAGATCCCACCACTGCACTCTAGATTGGGTGACAGAATGAGACTACATCTCAAAAAACAAAACAAAACAAAAAACAAACACGTATATGTACTTCCCGCTAAAATAAAATACACTGAAATGTTAAAATTGAATTCAGTTGAATAAAAGGTGACCGAACATTTTAAAAAGTTCTGCCTAGATGAATACTTTATGATTTGACATTGTAGTATTTTTTGAACATGGCAGCAGCTCCTATGAATGGTCTATCCAACTGCCACTCCAGCTTCTTCCCAGAAACAAAACCCAGCTCAAGGGTGACAGTGTGCTGCATGCCAGGGGATCCACTAGTCCACTCATCCCCCTTTGCCAGTGCCTGGTTCAAGAGTGGGCATGTGGCCCCACTCTATAGAGATGGGGGCGAGGCTGCTGGAGCTGCCGATGGTTCTTCCCGGAGAAGGGCAGAGCAGAATGAGAACGCGCCTCTGCCACTGTCCACTCTGGCTGTGCGCACCGTCATTTGGAGAATGATGCTTGGTGCAGGAGCAGCCACACTGCAACACTGAGGATGGCAGAGCGAACGGTTCCAAGGAAATCCCGATGACATTCTGGCTTCCACCAACTCTAGAACCATCTATTTACAGACTTCTTGCTACGTGAGATAAACATTCTCATTGCTTAAGCCACTGTCAGGCTAATTTTCTGTTACTCGTGCTGATCACATCCTGTTATAAGCAATTATCTGCCTGGCACCCAATACATGCCTCCTGTTCACTCTAATTTAAAAGCAACCCTATTAGAAGAAAGTCACTACTGTCTCATTCTTACATAAAATAAATAAAATCAAGCTTAAAGAGGGTAAGTGATTTTTTCCAACCCAAAGTTCACTGGTGGAGTTGGATTCAAACACAACCATGACTCGACAGCCCAGACTCTGCCACCTAATCATGTAGTTAGAAAACTACACAAGCCTATTGTCCCTTCTTTCTCTATTTAACAAAAAGTGTATGCACGGATGCAGTTAGCAGCAAATTTGCATCCACTTGCACTCATGTATGAATCCGGCTTTGGGCCTTTCTCCTCTGCCATTTGTACATATTCTTTGGTAGAAATGCATGCCTCGGAGTTCGACCAAGAAATCAGACTCTCCTCTCTTTGCCCAAATTTATTGATGAGACCTAATTTGTGCATAAGGGATCTAGAGATAGGCCGTGTGGACTTTGATGCAGACTCGTAAGTTTCAAGCCAAGACATCTGAACGGGCAAAATGAAGCCAAAAGCAGTGCATGTCTTCCTCAAACTTTCTTGGAAGAGTCAGAAAACTAAAGATTGAAAAATACCCAATATCTAACATTAAGCAATTGATTTCATCCAAAAAAAAGCAGAAGAGAGTATTTCTGAACCAAAGAAACAGAACGGAAAGAGAGGATGAGAATGGCGACTGGCTGGCAGTGCATCGGCTATTTAAAGGAAGGAAGGGCTGGAGCCCAGAGCTAATCAAAGGTTAGCTGACCAAAGAGGGCGTCCCAGCACATGTTTCGAAGGAACCCTTTCTGCTCCAGTCCTCTACAATGAGAAGAGCCCAGAACAGCACTATCCAATGGAGCCGAGATGAGCTTCAGCTCCAGAAAGGGCGGTATGGTCGGCCTCATAGCTGCTGGGCAGGCAGGTTGAGGGCTTTGTAGGCAAAGCCCAGCCTTGACAAATGAGTAACAGGCTTGAGGAGCTTTGAAAAGAAGGAAGGTGAGCCTGAAGGAAGATGTACCCAAAATCTAAGGGGCCACTAGAAATTGGGGATGGGGTGGGCAGGAAGCAGTTTTTCCTGAGCCCCTGTGGTTCATTCTGTCCCAGAGGCCACATGCCACGACGCCAGCAAAGGGAAGCTGTGCCATCAGTGTCTAACACACGCCACCGCATGAGGCCTTACTCTAACCTGCAAACGTCTCCCCAACTGTATGAGGGAAAACCCCAGCCCTACTGTCAAGACAGAGGACAAGAAGCTGTTCCTCCAGGGACAACACAGTAGATGACCAGGTAAAGGGAGCAAGATCACAGTCCCAAAAAAGTAACACTGAGTAGATGGCTCTGGCAGTGCTAGGACAGGAGAGAGGGAGGCCTCTGATCCTGAAGTTTCTGAAGTGGGCATCATCAGCCAAGTGTCAAGGAGGCCACTGTTCAATACACCCCTAACTTCTCTTACCAAGGGTTTAGTTTTTTGTTAGCAATATTTGACTTCGGCTCATACATGAGTAATAACTGCAAAGATAGGAGTGTAAGAACATGTCCTTGGCACACCATGTCCCCCAAAGGTTTTTGCAGGGTGCTGGGAGGGGTCTCTGACCTCTTCCTATGACCCGCAGCTATTACAGCAACTCACGCGGGAAGCACCTGGCTAAGAGGACCCAGGAGAAGAAGGCATACAACAGCCCGATCCCATAAATTTAGGGCATCAGGCCCAGGGTGAGGGCGGGATATAAAGCAGGAAGGGGCCAGAGCAAGGACGGGAGCAGCTCTAGTCACTGCTTTTGAAACCTGGAATCTCTATTTTGTTTGAATATAGACTCAGGTAGAGAAAAAGGACACGGACGTTTATTGAGTGCCTACTGGTTCCGGCCTCATGCAGGGGTTTTCATCTCTTAATAGCCCATGAATCCTCACGCCAACCTGGGGAGGTAGGTATCATCCCCAAGCCTTCATCGCGGCCTCCTCCTCCTCATCTTGAGGCTCCTCTTTCACTGCCTGGGTGATAGAAATGGAAGGCTATCACGTGACCACCATCCATACCAGCTCACTGTTACCAGCCCTTTGGCCCCCGTCTGCTCCACTGCCATTTAGCCAGGGAGTGGGAAGGAGGTACTGGTTATAGAGAGGGGCAAGAGACAACACGTTCAAGTCTCCCGTACTTATCTAAAAAGGGACATCTGAGGCTGGGCCCACTGCTCCATGTCAACACATGAACCCTCTGTGAGGGAGAATCGAGCATCTTTGTTCAGTTCACGTATCCTACAGTAAGAAAGGGAGAACCTGCTCATGCTCATGTCGGATGATGAATAGGAGGCTCAGAAAGGTTAGGTAGTTTGTTCAAGGACACAGAACCAGGAACTGGCAAGCTGGGACCAAGTGCTTAAGTCTCAGACTCAATCCTTGCTGCTTCTAGGAGGAGGGATGGAGCATCAGCAGAAGCTGCAGTTCTGCAGTTCTCACACTTCTGTCGCTGCAGCCCAACAGCCCCCAGGAGAAGCCAGCCCCTTCCCACAGACCCTCCCAACCTACCTTGGTAGGATGCATCAGTGGAAGAGATTAAGACATAAATATAAAAATAAATAGCAGGGCCAAGTCCCCAGCAGCAAGGATATGCCAACTCCACGCTGCGGGAAGGTCACTGTGCCATTGACAGCTGCTGTGGGAGGAAGCCCAGGGGAAATCTGGGACAATGGCTGCCAACGGCTGGAGTGCGTAGGCTCAGTGGGCCCCTTTCGGGTCTCACAGATTCAAGAACAAAATGTCTGGAGCAGGCAGCAGCCGTGGGCACAGGCGCCGTCCTCCTCCATCTGCTCATTTTACCGGTGTTTGTGATCCAAGAGAGACTCAAAATCAGGGGAACATACAAGTTTGTGCTTCACGTGTCCCAGGACTGTCATCTCCCCTGTCCTACTGTCTCCAAGGCCCACGGACACCAGCTCCTGCCAATTGACAGAGAAGGTGATGAGCTGTGAATGGGAATGTGATATTCCCAGGAACCTCCTCCCTTATTTAGCATCGGCAGTTCAATGCTCCTCCACTCCTTAAAGGCTCCCTCCCTGACCCTAGGGAGGCTCTTACCTGCAGGAAGGAGCAGGCAGTTCCCATGGTCACGTCCAGAGTCACCTTGCCCAGGAGGAGTTGCACCCTTCCAGACTTGCGGATGAGTAGCTTGCCAACCTGACCCTCTGTCAGGTCAGCCAGGGTACAAGCATTCTCTGCCAGTCTGGCTTCCTGTGGACAAAGTCAGAGGATGGACGCTGGGCTAGGAGCTCTTTCTTCCATCTTTCATTCACCCCCTTTTACCCACCAAGAGACAGGCACAGCAAAGGGCAGAATGAGCTCTCCAAAGAGTGCCTTCTACAGCTCTCTGCCATGGTTAAAATATAAAACCCACACCAAACAAATATATAAATGGACAAAATATCAGTAACTGGCAAAGCTAAGTTTCTGGTACACAGCAGTTTACGTTCTCTCCTTTTCTGGGGACAAGGTCTGGTTCTGTTGCCCAGGTTGGGGTGCAGTGGTGCGACCTTGGGTCACTGCAACCTCTGCATCCTGGGCTCAAGCCATCCTCCCCTCTCAGCCTCCCGAGTAGCAGCGACTACAGGCACATGCCACCATGACTGGCTAATTATTTTATATATTTTTTTTGGTAGAGTCAGGGTTCCACCATGTTGCACAGGCCAGCCTCGATCTCTGGGCCTCAAGTGATCCTCTCTCAGTCTCCCAAAGTGCTGGGATTAGAGGCATGAGCCACCACAACTGGCCAGATGTTCTCCATTTCTATGTATTTAAAGTATTTCCTTATAAAAATTAAACACACCCACCCCACGTACAAACACAACTGAGGTTGGAGGCACAAAGCCCCACGGCTCTTGCAGGCTCCAAGAATAAACAACCATTATTGTTCAATTTCTGCCAGGGTGGCACGGCTTTGCTTCCCACTACAGGTTACACTTCCCCTCCCAGTCCCTGCCTCTATTCCCACAGGCGTCTGCCTGGGCGTACCCGGTCCTTCTCCTGCTTGATGAGTACCATCTGGCCATCCTCGCCCTGTACCTCTGTCTTGATGGGCTTGATGTCCTGGGTGGGCGGTTGGCCAGGGAGGGTGTCTGGCAGCTGGAGAAACAGCAGTTCCTCCTCCTTGGTGAGGCTTAGCTCCCTGAGCAGCTCTGCCACAGATATGTCCTTCGGGAGGCCTGGGGTCTTCCTGGCTGCTTTGGGAGGAGCCTTCATCTTGGCCTCCTCCTCCTCATCTCGAGGCTCCTCTTTCACTGCCGGGGTGATAGAAATGGAAGGCTATCATGTGACCACCCTCCACATCAGCTCACTGTTACCAGCCCTTTGGCCCCATCTACTCCACTATCACTCAGCCAGGGAGTGGGAAGGAGGGACTGCTTATAGAGAGGGGCACAAGACAACACGTTCAAGTCTTGTGTGACTTAACTAAAAAAGGACATCTGAGGCTGAGCCCACTGCTCCACGTCAACATGTGAACCCTCTGTGAGAGAGAATCAAGCATCTTTGTTTAGCTCCTGTATCTTACAGCCAGCAAGGGAGCATCTGCTCATAAGCAGCAGTTAGGGCCCCATGCAAGGGATGTCTGATGCCAGGGATTCCTGGGAGTAGCCATGGAATTGGAGATGAGAAGTTAATGGACACAGAGTACCTTTCACAGCAGGTACATCCACCTCCATGTCCTCTTCCTTGGGGCCAGCCAGCCACGATTTAACATCTGGTTCGTCATTTTCTTCCTTAAAAAGCCATCCTGAGTGAGCCAGCGGCAGCTGCACAGGCATATTTCGAGTGTCGTTCCTCAGCCCGGGGTCATCGAGGAACTGCCAAAAAGAATTGGGGTCATCCAGCCTGCTAGCATATGCACTTGGAAAAAAGTCTGCTTTAGTCACTTTCTAACCGAAGATTCCTGCTGCTCCCCCAGATTCCAGGACTCAGTGAGCTCTTCCGCCCCTCACCTGGCTCCCCAGAAGCCCTGTTCTACAGCCACAAGCAAGCCCCTTCCCCAAGCCTCCAGGTACCCACATCGTCCTTCTCCAGCATGCGCAAGATCTGTTTCGTTTCTTCGTCTGTCTCTCTCTTCTCTTTTTTGATGTTGATGATATGAGAAGGTCCCATGTCTGACACATCCACTGTCTTATCCCAGTTTCCTGTGGGAAATCACCCGGGTCACTAGGGATCAATCAGGAAGATGCCAACAGCAAGGAAAACTGAACTGGGAGCAGGGAAATTCCACTGCTCTTGCCCTTCTCTTGGGCAGTCTGAACTCAAATTCACTACTGATTCCTTCTTCGTACCTTTTTTCTTCATCATTTCGGCTGGGCCCTGCTCAAAGATGGAGTGGGACTGGATCACTTCTGGGCGGCCTCGTCCTCGTCCATGCCCCTCTCGCTGTCGGTCTCTGTCCCTTTCACGCTTCTCCTTCTTGACAGTTACTTCTTCCTTGGGCCTGGAAAAGAGAATGGATTCGGGAAACCACTCACTCACTGTGTCTCCGAAAACTGGCCTTACTCTCCCATACCACCTCACTCCAAGACAGTGGAGAGTCTGAGCCAATAATTACACTATGAGAAGCAGAATCCAGTTCTAATTCTAGCACTTTTCTCACTTCCTTGATGAGGCAGGATTTTTTCAGTTTGCTTTACTTTACCTTGTCCAAAAATGTAGATTTTTTTTTTTTTTTTTGCATTGGGACTGAAAGCAGGAAGGCAGAAATCCAAAGGAACTTCAGGGAAAGTATGATACATCTTTTTAAACTAGTGGCTCTCAACTCTGGCCATCAAAGAGAATCACTCCATTCCACTGCCAACAAATTAAATCACAATTTTTAGAGATGGAGCCCTAGACACCAATATTTTTTTTTTAAACTTACACATCAGAATCACCTAGAAGCAAGGACTGAAAATCACCAGTGAAAAGAACTAAAAACATAAATTTAAATGTCAGAGCCACAAACCTAGTTGCTTCCCCCAAAGCCCCATATTCAGAGAAAGTAAATAAGGGGCAAGTATTCAGAAGGCCTAGCTACTTACTCTTCTTTGATCTTCCGACTGATGATATTTGGGGTGAAGGTTTTCTGAAAGCAAAATACAGGAGTCACTGATGTGTTAGGTCCTGACCCCAAAGTACAGAGGAAAAAAAAAATTCCCAAAGGGCACTGTCTACCAACCAAGGCCAACATGGTTGTCTTTGGCACATTCCACAGTGCTGTCCGCTTTACAGAGACAGACATGTGACTGAAAAGAAGGAATGTCATGGTGTGGTGGCAGTGGAGTTACACATAAAAGAAAGGGGCACCAAACCTCATTTTTAACCAGCAGCCTTAGGTACTGCCTCTGAAAGAATACCCTCTGGGACTTCTAAAAGCAAAGGAATTTCTCTAGTCTCACCTCTCATCTTCAAACTGCTATAGAGACCAGTGAGTATCATGAGAGAACAGCTCTAGCACCAAGACATAAGTAGGGAAGACCACAGATCTGCCAACGCTCTCAATCAGGGGATTATAGACCGTCACAATTTTCCAAGGCAAAGTTAGGTGTTTTTTTTCTTTTGAGAGGGAGTTTCACTCTTGTTACTGTGGCTGGGGTGCAATGGCATGATCTCGGCTCACTCCAGCCTCTGCCTCCCAGGTTCAAGCGATTCTCCTGCCTCAGTCTCCTGAGTAGCTGGGATTACAGGCACCTGCCACCACACTTCTAATTGTTGTATTTTTATTAGAGACATACCCAGCTAATTTCTGTATTTTTTGTAGGGGTTTCACTGGCCAGGCTGGTCTCAAACTCCTGACCTCAGGTAATCTGCCCACCTCGGCCTCCCAAAGTGCTGGGATTACAGGCGTGAGCCGTGGTGCCCAGTCGCAAAGTTAGGTTTTTAAATACTGCTTTATTCTTCTGCCATCCTGACCCTACCCCTTTCAGAGCTACTCTTGACATCCACAATCATATGCACATGGGAGACCACAGAGCCTCAAATGCTATGCCTAGGATTCATCATACTCTAGATAAGAAGTCTGCACACTGAGATGTTGAATTCTGAACTCTCTAAGACTGTGAGGTTTATGCCTGCCTGGCTTTCAGGGGCTTGTTATAGATGTCCAAACACACAATTAAAGTAAATAAACACTGTTCAAGTTGCTTTTGAACAACGTTAACTAATTAGGACTCTCTATCCTTCAACCACCTCTGAGAATCATTTCAACATCTGTACTCAGTACCTAGATTTGAAGGTAGGACAGGCTCCCTAGAATGTAAAGAGGAGTAGGCGTGAGGCCGAACAATACTCCAGACACACAGTAGGCCCTACACGAACATTAGTTGAATCTCGCGGCTTGGAATTCAAGGTAGGTGAGTTTCTTTAGAAACGCGCCGTTGGGTACCTTCTTGACTCCCCCGAGGGTGAGGTCCCTGGAACGGATGGAGGGAAGGCGGCCGGGAGTGAGGGGGGGCGCCGGCCGCCGCCCGATGAGCCCCCGAGCCCCGGTCAGGAGGGGTCGGGGCCCTCCCGGAGTGCTGGGCTCGCCGGCGGCGTTTCCTTCCGACATGTTGCCTGGCAAAGAAGGGACAACGAGATGACCAGAGGAGATTGACACGCGGACCCTTGCGGAACCCCACCCACTTGGCTTCCGGTTCCCCACTCAGCGCGTCCTCCAGTGGCGTCTCTGCTCCTCCCCTCCCACGTGGCTAGACTCCCCAGACCACCCAGGTGAGAGCCCTCGTGACACGCCCTGTCTCCAGGACCCCCGCCCAAGAACCAGGCAGGGACTCACCCGGACCGCGGCCCCACACCACGCTCACGACTTCACCAGAGACGCGACCTGCAGCTAGCCTTCGGTCTCCGCGCCGAACGGAAGTCTGCGTGGCATGGTCTGGGCGCCGCCATGTTGGCGCGGGGCGGAAGTGATGTTCTGGGGGCGGGACTGAGCCACAGTATTTATTAGGCGGCGCTTCGCTCCCCTCCGCCTTCTCTTCCCGGTTCTTCCCGGAGTCGGGAAAAGCTGGGTTGAGAGGGCGAAAAAGAATAAGGGGATGGTTCTGGGCTACGCTGTGACGTGGCGTTCGGGGGTCTTAGGCCTCGGGCGGGGGCGTGGAGGCGCCGAATTCAGGCTCCTGGGCCTTGTTGGCCGCCACGCGCAATGTGAGGAATCGCCGCGGCGGAGCCCCTGGGAGCTTTGGGGTCGCTGCTCGGGATGGGGCGAGGGGCGCGGCGCAGAGAGCGAGACTTGAACTCAAAGTTGGGGAGTCCTGGGCCACGCCGAGCCCCGTCTCGGGTTCTCCATGGTGACCTTGAAGTGGACAGTTCCTGCGGGCAGCGGCCTCGCCCACTTTTGAGGACCCCCTTCCCTGTGCTCCTGGGGGGGTTCAGGGGTGAGGCTGTGGGGGGCAGCGTTGGAACAGCCGCAATGGACCAAGCGGTACCCAGTCACAACTGCCTTGGGCTCACGACGGCGGTGGCCCTCATGTGCGCTCTTGTTGAAATCGGAATACCAAGTTTGCTCTACTGTTGGAATTTGAAAAACTTCGATTGACTCCGATGTTTGTGATTTCACATAAAAAGTGTCATTTAATGTTACCCCCCAGACCATGTAAAAACCATGTAACAATATTACGGGGAGTTTGAGGAAAGGAAATCATTTCTATTCGATTGCCACGTAGAGTACTACTATTAAAAATTTTGTAATATATCTAGTAGTCTTCACAAAGTTGTCATATTCTATCACAATTTCGTATCCTTTTTCTTTTGTTTTTTTTGGGGGGGGGCGGGGAGAAGAGGGAGACGAGGTTTTTCTCTGTTGCCCAGACTGCAGTGGTAGGATCGGCTCACGGCACCCTCTGCCTCACAGGCTCAAGCCATGCTCCAACCTCAGCTTCCCGAGTAGCTGGGACTACAGATGCATGCCACCATGCCTTTCCCCGCTCCCCCGTCCCCCACCTCGTAGAGATGGAGTTTCACTGTGTTGCCCAGGCTGGTCTTTAACTCCTGAGTTCAAGTGATCCCACCCAGCTTGGCCTCCCAATGTGCTGGAATTACAGGCGTCAGCCACCGCGCCTGGCCTGTATCCTCCTTTTCCAAATAACATTTCTCTGTTGCCACATCAAAGACTGTGTCGTTCTCCAGTGGCTGTATCATGATTTAAGTATTTTCCTGATTGTTCCTTTTTTTCCTGTTTTAAATAACGTTGTAGTGAATATGTGGTACATTCGACGTACTTTTTGTTTGTTTTCTTTTGGATTATATTCCTGGGATAGATTTCCCGTCCTGGGATAGCTGGCCAAAAGAAGATGCATTTTTTTTTTTTTAAGTAAATTTTTGGGATGGGCATCGTGGCTTACACTTGTAATCCCAGTACTTTGGAAGGCAGAGGTGGGAGAATTTCTTGAAAGGCTCAGCAGTTCAAGGTTGCAATGAGCTATGATCTGGTCCCTGCACTCCAGCCTGGGTGACACAGCAAGACCCTATCTCTAAAAACATTTTTTAAATTAAACTTTTTATTTTGAGAACATTGTAGGTTCATGTAGAGTTGTAAGAAACAATATAGAGAGATCCCAAGTACTGTTCACTGTTTTCCCCCAATAGTAACATCTTGCCACCAGGATATTGACATTATTACAGTCAAGATAGGAGAAGTTTCCATCACCACAAGGATCTCTCTAGTTGCCCTTTTATAGCCACACCTCCCTCCCCCACCTCCTCCCACCACTAGTCTGTTCTCGATTCCTGCCATTTCGTTATTTGAAAAGTGTTATATAAATGGAATCGTACAGTATGTGACTTCTTAGGATTGCTTTCTTCACTCGGCATTGTTCCCCAGAGATCATCCAAGTTGTGTGTGTATCAATAGTTCCTTCTCTTTTATTGGAGCCTATTCGTGGTTTGTTTAACCATTCACCCTTTGAAAGACATCTGGGTGGTTTTCCGTTTGGGGTTATTATGAATAAAGTTGCTGTGAAAATACACGTACGGGTTTTTGTGTGAACGTAAGTTTTTATTTCTCTGGGATAATTGCCCATGAGTGCAATAATTGGGTCATATGGTAGTTGTATCTTAGTTTTATAAGAAACTGCCAAGCTGTTTTCCACAGCGGCTGTACCGTTTTGTACATGCATATTTTATGGTTCTTCATTCACTTTGCTAAATTGCATTCAAGGCTTGTGCGGCCGGGATCGGTGGCTCACGCCTGTAATCCCAGCCCTTTGGGAGGCCGAGGTGGGCAGATCACTTGAGATCAGGAGTTCCAGACCAGCCTGGCCAACATGGCAAAACCCTGTCTCTACTAAAAATACAAAAAATAGCTGGGCGTGATGGCGCACGCTGGTAATCCCAGCTACTCTAGAGGCTGAGGCACAAGAATCGCTTGAACCCGGGAGGCAGAGATTGCAGCGAACTGAGATCTCACCACGTGCTCCCGCCAGGGCAACAGAGGGAGACTCTGTCTCAAAACCACAAAAACAATAACAAAAAAAAAAAACCCACAAAAAAAAAGGATTGTGCTGAAATGCATCAACACTAAGAACGTGTGTATATACAATAACCAAACACACATATTGTGGGCTCTTGGTGGGGTCCTGGGTGAGGCTGTGTGGGCAGCCCTGAAACAGCCACAATGGATCAACCAATGTCCAGTCGAACCCACCCTGGGCTCACATCAGTGGCCCTCGTATGCATTCTTGGTCAAAGCCTGGAAAGAATCTGAATACCAAGTTTGCTCTACTGTTGGAAAATTAAAGAACTTTTATTGGTCAGGCATGGTGGTGGGTGCCTGTAATCCCAGCTACTTGGGAAGTTGAGGCAGGAGAATCCCTCGAACCTGGGAGAAGGAGGTTGCAGTGAGCTAAGATCATGCCATTGCACTCCAGCCTGGGTGACAAGAGCAAAACCCCACCCCCCCACAAAGAACTTTTATTGACTCCAAAATTTGTGTGTGTGTATGTGTGTGTGTGTATAATGGATATATATATATATATATATATATATATAGAGAGAGAGAGAGAGAGAGAGAGAGAGAGAGAGACAAAGAGAGATAGTATATAAGAATATATAATTTTGGGGCATAGTTGCACCCACCTGAGTAGTCCCAACTAATCAGGAGGCGAAGGAGGGGGGGATCTATTGAACCCAGAGTTCAAGGCTGCTGTGAGCCCTGATTGTGCCACTGTACTCCAGCCTGGACGACAGAGGAAACTCTGTCTTAAAAAACAAAAACAAAAAAACCAAAAAGAGAATATATAATGTTTTGGCCAAATCCTTTTGAGTATTGGCTCCTAAAATTTAAAACTTTGTTTGCCAATTTACTAATATATTAATATTTTGTTATGTTGTTTTCTTTTTTCTTGAGACGGAGTCTCTCTCTGCCGCCAGGCTGGAGTGCAGGGGCGCTATCTCGGCTCACTACGTCCTCTGCCTCCCGGATTCAAGCGATTCTCCTGCTTCAGCCTCTCCAGTGGCTGGGACTACAGGTGCTCACCACCATGCCTGGCTAATTTTTTTTGTATTTTTAGTGGAGACGGGGGTTTCCGCCATGTGGGACAGGCTGGTTTTGAACACCAGACCTCATGATCCACCTGCCTCGGCCTCCCAAAGTGCTGGGATTACAGGTGTAAGACACCACTCCCGGCCTGTTACATTGTTTTCTAAACAGACCTTTTTCAGCTTCTTTCTCCATGTTGATTTCACAATAATCAAACCAGACCAGTACCCTTTTCCTGTTCCCTACAGAGCTCCACACAGCACCCCTCAGCTTCCAATTAGAGGACTGGATGAAACAGCTTTGATTTCATTCTGTTGGGCTTTGAGGTTCACCACTTAGTAGATTTTTTTGATTATTTTGAATTTTTTAAAATATTTATTTTTGAAAATTTGGAAAAATTTTAAAAACACTGAGAAGAAAAAGCTATCCATTATTATCCCATCAAATGTTTTATGTACTTGAAGTCATTTTTCTATGCATTTAGATTTTTAAAAATTGGGATCTTTCACACACGGTTCTTTAAAAAATTTTATCGATTTATTTATTTTGAGACCGGGTTATGAGACTGGCTAATTTTTGTACTTTTGGTAGAGACGGGGTTTTGCCATGTTGCCCAGGCTGGTCTCAAACTCTTGGGCTCAAGGAACCCACCTGCCTCAACCTCCCAAAGTGCTGGGATTACTGGCACGAGCCACCATGCCCAGCTAGAGCTCAGTTTCTTATTACTAACATTTGATTTTCACAAATATCATAATAAAGACAATAATCTCATTATAATTTAACAATCAAACTCTTAAGAAAAAATACAGTTTTCTGGTCTAAATGCAGGTCTTAGAAGGTATAACAGGTTCTGTCAAAAACCTGTTCATGTGGATTATTATTATTATTTTTTGAGACAGAGAGTCTTGCTCTGTTGCCCAGGCTGTAGTGCAATGGTGTGATCTCAGCTCACTGCAACCTCCGCCTCCCGGGTTCAAGCCATTCTCCTGCCTCAGCCTCCCGAGTAGCTGGGATTACAGGTGCCCACCATCACACCTGGTTAATTTTTGTGTTTTTAGTAGAGATGGGTTTCACCATCTTTGAGGCTGGTCTCAAAGTCCTGACCTCAGGTGAGGTCACCCACCTCAGCCTCCCAAAGTGCTGTGATTACAGGCGTGAGCCACTGCATCTGGCTTTTTTTTTGAGACAGGGTCTTACCCTATCACCCAGACTGGCGTGCAGTAGCTATTCACAGCCACAATCAGAGCTCACTGAAGCCTGCAACTCCTGGGCTCAAGGTATATTCCTGCCTCAGCCTCCTGTGTAGCTGGGACTACAGATGTGTACCACCATACCCAGCTAATTTTTAATCATTTTGTAGAGACAATCTCATTGTGTTGCTCAAGCTGGTCTCAAACTCCTGGGTTGAAGCGATCTGCCCCCTTTGGACTCCCAAGTTGCTGGAATTACAGGTGTGAGCCACAGCGCCCGGCCTCCTGTGAATTCTTCATGGGCATTGAAAATGAATAACAAACTGTTTTGAATATGTACTGGCAGAATAAAAGGAATGCATAGTATGAGAATGCTATCCACGTTCAAGCTATCACATGTTCTCTGTGTAATTTGTCCTTGTTTATTTGCATCATTTTGCAAGCCATTCTTTTGCTGGTTCCTCCTTATCACCTTGACCCTACATGTTGGAGAGTAGAATTCTGTTTTAGGAATTCGCTCCTATTTTCTCTGTACTTGGTGCCTTGAGAATGGTCCGGTTTCTCAGCTTCAAGTGTACTGTATGCTGACAAGTCCTAAGTGCTCATCTCAGGTCCAGTGCTCCCTGAATTCCTGATGTGCCTCTGCCTAGTCCACACCTCCAGTCGGATGTTTTTTTTAATGAGATAGGGTCTTTCTTACTCTTTCACCCAGGCTGGAGTGCATCTCAACACCTATATCCACAGTCAAACTTTTTTTTTTTTTTTGAGACAGGGTTTTGCCCTGTTGCCCAGGCTGGAGTGCAGTCACATGATTTCCACTCACTGCATCCTCTGCCTCTCGGGTTTGAGTGATTCTCCTGCCTCAGCCTCCTGAGTAGCTGGGATTATGCCCAGCTAATTTTTGTATTTTTAGTAGAGATGAGGTTTCACCATGTTGGCCAGGCTGGTCTTGAACTCCTGACCTCAGGTGATCGATCCACCTTGGCTTCCCAAAGTGCTGGGATTACAGGCGTGAGCCACTGTGCCTGGCCACATACACACTTTTTTTGATCTTTTTCCTCAAACTACTTCTCCAAAGTGGTCCCCA